ATAACTTCTTTGTATAAATCCTTCTGAGATTGGTCTAGGCATTCCCATTCCTCTTGGGAAAAGTCTAGTGCCACATCTCTGAAGGTCACCAAACCCTGAAAGTAAAAATTAAAACTTTTTAAAAAGGTCATGTTCACAGGGTGCTTAGACGCCCCTATGGCCTCTGAAGTCCTGAAATATTAGGTGAAATTTGTGAAAACACTAATTTACCTGGGACATTTCTTTACAAAGTCCAACAGCCTTCCTTCCTTCAGTTTCCTTTTTTGGTGGTGAACAAAATCCTGACAAGGAAGAGATGAGGTAGGAATGATAACTTAGTTCTATGTTGTTGATATTAGAAGCCTGAGAGAATGATTGTCCCTTTACCATTCCTGTATCCATCTTCCTCCCTGTCCTCTTAGTGTGTGTGTGTGTGTGTAGGTGTATGTGTGTGTTCATGCACATGAATGTGTGTACATGTGCATCAATAGTGGGCATAAACCCTCTCTTACTTGGCTTTTCCCTCAATGCTGGTGCTCTAACACTTGAGCCAGATCTCCACTTCAGGGTTTTTGCTGCTTAATGAGAGATGAGTTGCATGGGCATTCCTTTTTTTTTTTTTTTTTTGGGTCTGGTCGTGGGGCCTGAACTCTGGGCCTGGGCGCTGACCCTCAGCTCTTCAGCTCAAGGCTAGTGCTCTACCACTTGAGCCACAGTGCCACTTCCAGCTTTTTTCTTTTTGCTTATGTGGTGCTGAGGAATCGAACCCAGGGCCTCAGGCATGCAAAGCAAGTGCTCTACCACTGAGCCACCTTCCCAGCCCTGCATGGGCATTCCTAACTGGGCTAGTTTGAACTGAGATCCTCAGATACTCCCCCCCGCCCCCCCCCCCCCCCCCCCCCCCCCCCCCCGCCATACACACACACCTAAATGTAAGAAATTAGAGATGAGCAACTGATACAGGCTCAAGGGACAGGAATGGAGGCAGCAGCAATGAACAGATGTAGGCAGAATCCAAACTGAATTTTAGGGGCAGTCAATATGGGTCACATGACCTGGACTGTGGTAAATCGAGGTGGGGAAGAGAGTCAATTCCAAGGAAGGGTGTTAGGTGGAAGACAGGAATTGGAGAGTCACCTTCCAAGAGGAGTGTCACAACTGGGGCAGGAATTTGTACCTTACACATGGAAAACAGATTTTGTAAACAGGCAGGTTCATAGGGAGGGGACTTAATTGGCAAGATGATTCCAGACCTTAGACTAAATAGCTATGATTACCAGCACCTAGCTACATATCTTATACATGCCAGACTTACTCCAAGTTTTGAAAATAGACCTGCAAGTTTTACCTTTATTAAGGACACAGAGCCTGAACTCAACAAAAACAGAAGTCTATTCTGTGGCCACCAAGGCAGTTGATGATTTGGTCCTGGCTTTTGCTTTTCTTTTTTGGTCCATGTGGAGCTTGAATTCAGGGTCTGGGTGCTGAGCTCTTTTGCTCAAGGGTAGAGCTCTACTACTTTAAGCCCCAACTCCACTTCTGGGTTTTAAGTGTTAATTGGAGATAATAGTCTCATGGAGATTTTTCTGCTGGGGCTGGCTTTGAATCGAGATCCTCAGATCTCAGTCTCCTTAGTTAGGATTACAGGCATGAGCCACTGGCGCCTAGCTTGGCCCTGGCTTTCTGTTTTCTACACATCTAACCTCATTTCCCACCTTTCTCTCTTTTCCATATTCCACAGTTTTCTTTGCCTCAAACACTATGTAGTCTTCCTGGTGGCTGTTTTTGCTTTTCCTTCTGCCTGGGACAACCTCCAGGGTTGCCAGGGAGAATTAACCACTTTTTGCTGGTTAATTAGTCTATGAGATAAGCATCTCACAGACTTTCCTGACAAGGCTGGCTTGGAACCAGCTACTGGGCCTCCTGAGTAGCTAGGATTACAGACACCAGTGCACAGCTTGGTACTATGATTTTTTTTATTTTTGGTATCATTTTTTAACTGTAAACGGGGACCAATTTTAATATTTCTGTGCTTAGAGAGCAAGATGCTCCACATACAAATGTTTACTGAACCACACACTTATATAAATAGCAAAAGTAACACCCATCATCCTGCATGACACCATATTAGCACCCATAGGTGGTCACCTACAACACTCACACAGTGACATACAACAGAAGATAATACTTCTCACAATTGCACACACAAATTTATACCCAGAAAAATAGATAATCATGGTTACACAATCACAACTGTTGTCACACTCATTCGAATACAGTTGTATCCGCAGCGACTGGTAATCAGTCACACACATACTGAGGACATACGTGTGACTGATTCACATTTATGAGTCTGACACCTTTCAGTTAAACTCACAGTCATACAGTTAGATCCACCGAGATCAGTTTTTTTTTTTTTTGTCGGTCCTGGGGCCTGAATTCTGGGCCTGAGCGCTGTTCCTCAGCTGTTCAGCTCAAGGCTAGCACTCTACCACTTGAGCCACAGCGCCACTTCTGGCTTTTTCTGCTTATGTGGTGCTGAGGAATCGAACCCAGGGCCTCATGCGTACAAGGCAAGCGCTCTGCCACTGAGCCACCTTCCCAGCCCGAGATCAGTTATTTTCCATCCAAAAACTGCTGGACACAGTCACACATTAACACAGCGACACACACACACACAGGGTGTTTCCGGTCGTATCTGCCAGGTTTCCACATTCATCTCCGTCCCATCCATCCTGACACCAGCGGGAACCTCTTGATCCCGACCCGGGCCAGGCCTACCTCACCTCGCTATGGAAACGGTCCACGCCGCTCAAAATAGTGACGTCATAACCCAAAATCCTACGCGGGGAGGGACGGAGCCCTGATGGACCCGTCAGGATCTAAGGAATGGCCTCAGCCTTCTGAGTCCCAGAGGGCATTGCGCAGCTGCGCTCGCTCCATACCGAACTACATTTCCCAGACAGCACTGCGGCACTCCCTCCACTGTGCGCTTGCGCTCCAGGCGGAGTAGGCTTCTGTTCAAGAAACCATGTAATTTCGGCGCAACTTCAAGAAGCTCTGCTAAGGCCCACTGTGATTGAAATCTTGGGTATGGTGATCTGTGCGTAGATGTTGCTGTATACCTTCTGTACTTGTGTATCAGAAGGGCGACGATTCGGTCAGAGAACCGGGATAGTGAATCACACAAGTGCAGGTCGTTGTGTGACACGCTGGTGTTTCACCCAGACTGTGAAAGTGATTGTGCGAGACTGGCTGATGGAGGGGTTGGCCATTTCGAACATTCTGCGAGGTGAGGTGAGGTGAGGTAGGCCTGGCCGGGGTCGGGATCAAGAGGTTCCCGCTGGTGTCAGGATGGACGGGACGGAGATGAATGTGGAAACCTGACAGATACGACCGGAAACACCGTGTGTGTGTGTGTGTGTGTGTCTGTCGCTGTGTTAATGTGCGACTGTGTCCACCCAGACCTAGATTCCTCAGCACACAAGATGTCATGGTTGTTTACTTGCAAACAATTGCCATGCCTCTCTAGTTTCTGGGCTTCCCTTTGGGGTGAATGGGAGAACATTTTTGGGAAGGTTAGGGTTATACCACTTGAGCCATTGTAGATAAAATTGCTGGGCTGGTCTAGAACCTTCACCTTCAGATCTCAGCCTCCAGAATAGCTAGGATTACAAGCATGAGCCACCGGCAATTAGATTTCATTTTTCTAAGGTTACTCAAAGTAATTTGGTAGCCCATTCCGCTGGTGTTCTGCTATTGCAACCTTTTCACCTTGCAATTTTCTTATAGCTCACCTATAAGAAAACTGGGCTGGGAAGGCAGCTCAGCGGTAGAGTGCTTGCCTGTGTGCATGAGGCCCTGGGTTAGATTCCTCAGCACCACATAAGCAGAAAAAGCCGGAAGTGGTACTGTAGTTGAAGAGCTGAGGGGCACTGCCCAGGCCCAGAGTTCAGGCCCCACAACCACCACCACCACCACCACCAACAACAACAAAAAACCTTAAAACTACCTATAGTCAGCAGGGCAAAAATGTCGGCCTTTCAAAAATGTGGAAGATGCACCTGGGTCAATATGTAACAAATTGGGGTGTGTGGAAAGAAAAGTTCTTGGAGTATTATATGCTCTAGACCCCTGTGGCAGAGAGCCCTGCAGCTCAGACCAGAGAGAGTTGGACAAGAGAAATATGGCTGCTGAGTGGTATCCCACTTGGTTGGACCAAAGGAAAAGTATTTCTCCCCATTCCTCCGAACATTTCCATATTGATTTGGTATTTCTTGATTTTTTGTTTTTTGTTGGTCGTGGAGATTGAACTCTGGCCCTGGGCACTGTCTCTCAGTTCTTCAGCTCAAAGCTAGCGCTCTACCACTTGAGCCACAATGCCACTTCCAGCTTTTTGTTTACAGGTACTGAGGAATAAAATCCAGGGTTTCATGCATGCTAGGCAAGCACTCTACCATTAAGCCACATTCCCAATCCTCCCTTTTAACATTTAAACAATGAGATCTTATTACTGAAATTACCACACTAGTTCGAAATCCTGCTTCCTTACATTCTAAATGGAAATATTTAGTATATAGCTGGGCTTTTTTTTCTATATAGTGCTAAAGGTTTATTCTAAATAATTGTATCTGAGCAAAGACTTTTTTTCTGGTCATGGGACTTAAACTCTGGGCCTGGGTGCTGTCCCTCAGCTCTTCAGCTCAAGGCGAGCACTTTACCAGTTGAGCCACAGTGCCACTTCCAGTTTTCTGGTGGTTTACTGCAGGTAAGTCTCACAAAGTTTCTTGCCCAGGTTGGTTCTGAACCACAATCCTCAGATCTCAGCCTCCTAAGTAGCTAGGATTATAGGCATGAGCCACCAGCGCCCAGCTAAAGACTTTATTTTTAGTTTGTATACATTCCTGACTTTTATTGCCCAAATGAAAGTCCAGAATCATTTAGTGAAATTTTCACTTAAAGATAACTCAGCATCTTGTTAATTTGTGAGATGCTACCCTTAACAAAAAGAAAATATTCTCAACCAGAAAACTGGTACATTTTACAACAGTTGGCAAGTCTTAAATCCATGAGTCACTTAAGGGATACTATATGCTAATTCAAAGAAGAGAAAACAATTTCATTTCCTACTTCTGTATATTTTCTTCATTGTAGTATCATGTATTACCTAAATACCTCAGTCGACAAATAAGTATCTTTGTGTGAACTAACCTGGAGCCAGAGGAAGTCTTAGGAAGCAGGCAAGGGCAGGATATTTAAAAATTGGACACTTCTTCCCAAAACCTACAGCTAGAATATCTGCAGCCTGTCAAACAATAAAATCTTGGGTCCCTGTAGGTCTGTCTATGTAAATTCATCATTCCCCAAACTCTACAAGGCTGACCAGGCTAAAGAACAAAGATGAAATCTGTCACAGAGCCTGCTTGGTCTCTTGTTCTCAGCTGCAAGGCAAGACAGACAATCGAAGACAAGCTGTAGTATTGTATCGTTTTTTGTAATACTGAAGGTAGTTTGCGGAAAGAGTATTCATGTGATCTGAGAAAATGATCTGGGAAATCTCCATTCCCTAATTTCATCCTGTTTAAAAGTCCTCCACAAAACGCCATCTCCAGGATAGAAGGCCAGGGCTCCTTGAACATGGGTAGAAAGTTTCCTTCAGGGGACAGCCATATAAGTCTTATCCAGATAGTGTAAGACACACCACAATCCTATTGGCTATTACTAAAACCATTGCCCTGTGTGTGTGTTTTGGTATCTGATGCTGACTCCCCACTGTAATTTTGACTCTTTGCTATATTCCTTGCACACAGATGGTATCTATATTGTGTGTCCTCTGATGCCTGAGGAGATTCGATTTCCTACTGAAGGCCCGAGCACATTTCCTGCAAATATAAGGCTTCTCTCCCGAGTGTGTCCTCTGGTGTCTAAGGAGGTGTGACTGCCGGCTAAAGCCTTGCCCACACTCCCTACACATGTGCACCTTGTTCCCCGAGTGTGCCCTCTCATGTTTAATGAGAGTGAGCTTATCACAAAAGCCTTGCCCACACTCCCTGCACACTGAATCACCTGAGTGTGCCCTCTTGTGTCGAAATAGGTTAGGCTTTTGCCGAAATCTTTGACCACACTCCCTGCACATGAAAGGCTTTTCCCCCGAATGTATCCTCTGGTGTGTGTGGAGAGTCAATTTATCATTAAAGCTTCGCTTACACTCCCGGCATACAAATAGCTTCTCCCCTGAGTGTTTCTTCTGGTGTGTGACAAGCGAGGATTTCCGAGTAAAGCTGCGTCCACACTCTGTGCACCCAAAGGGCTTCTCCCCAGCATGTGCCTTCTGGTGCTTAGAGAGGTTGGATTTCAGGCTGAAGCTCTGGCCACACTCTAGACACACGTAAGGCTTGACCCCGGAGTGAGTCCTCTGGTGTGTGAGGAGGTTGGACTTCCAGCTAAAGCCACGCCCACATTCAGTGCATATGTAAGGTTTCTCTCCTGTATGTGTCCTCAAGTGTCTGACAAGGTGTGACTTTTGGCTAAACCTTTGCTGGCACTCTCTGCAGACAAAAGGCTTCTCTCCTGAATGTGTCCTTTTATGTCGGACGAGATGTGAATGCTGACGAAAGCCACTCCCACATTCCTTGCACACATATGGCTTCTCCCCGGTGTGTGACCTCTGGTGGGTGATGAGGTTGGATTTCAGACTGAAGCTCTGTCCACATTCTTGGCACATGTAAGGCTTGACCCCTGAGTGTATCCGCTGATGTGTGAAGAGGTTTGATTTCCAAGTAAAGCCTCGGCCACAATCCTTGCACACGAAAGGTTTTTCCCCAGAGTGCATCCTCTGGTGTGTGATGAGGTTTGATTTCCAGGTAAAGCCTCGCCCACATTCTTGGCACAAAAAAGGCTTGTCCCCAACATGTGTCTTTGGGTTTTTCATGAGGACTGGCAGTCTGCTAAGGCTCTGGCCCCACTTGGTAACTATGAACGATGTCTCTCTTGGGTGTGTCTTCTGGGGGCTAGGTAGATTAGACTCCTTCATGAATCTTGGTCCAAGATTTTCATATTTGAGCACTCCAAACTGTGAGACAGTTAAACCATGAAATAATTTGGTGGCCGTTTCCTCAAGGTCCACCTTCTGTTCTAGACTGGAACTTGTATCCATCATCGGGACATCTTCCTTGGGCCTTATTAGATATTCTTCAGGTAGAGTGGAGATAGGCTTTGAAGAGTCACTTCTGCTGAGGCTCCCAAACAGGAGCCTGGACTCTTGTTCTTGCTCTTGAGTTTCTGCTTTGTTTCTCAAGCCATCTTGATCAAAGAATTGTTCCTGCCATTGTTTCAGATCTTCTAGATAATGTTTCCATGGAAAGCGGTGAGTTCCTGCACATAGACTTGGGAAGAGCTGAGGGAGAGGACTCTGCCACATATGTTGGCTGAGGGCTTGTTGACTGGAGAATAGGAGAGGGCAGGAAGTACAACGCTGAGTTTCTGGCATTGATCCTGCTAAAGAAAGAACAGTTTTTAGATGTTGAAGTTGCTGAGGCTATTTTGCCATGTCCATAGGTCACAATATGTTTATGCTACAGGCTGTTTCTCACAGACACTCCTCACAACACTGTACTTTCGGGGCTGGGGGTTTAGCTCAGTGGAAGAGTGCCTGCCTGGTGAGCACAAGGCCCTGAGTTCAGTCCACAGCTCTAGAAAAAAAAAAAGACTGTACTTTCACTTGTGCATTTCACTTTCTATTGCAGGAGATGGCACACACACAAAAGGAAAACAATAATGTAATAGGACTAGCCCTGAGCAAAAGAGCTTAGGGACAGCCCAGGTCCTCAGTTTAAGCAACATGACTAACAAAAAAAAAAAAAAAAAGTTAGCTGGGCACCTGTAATCAATCTATTCAGGAGGCTGAGATCTGAGGAATGCAGTTCAAAGACAGCTCAGGCAGCAAAGTCTTGAGACACTTATCCAATTAACCATTAGAAAACCAGAAGTGGCGCTATGGGTCAAAGTGGCAGAGTGCTAGCCTTGGTGGAAAATGCCCAGGGAAAAGCTGGGCACTGGTGGCTCATAGCCAGCCTGGTCAGGAAAGTTCCCTAAGACTCATCTCCAATTAACCACCAGAAAACTGGAAATGGCACTGTGGCTAAAGTGGTAGAGCACTTGCCTTGAGCTGAAGAGCTGAAGGTCAGTGCTCAGGCCCAGATTTCAAGCCCCATGACGGACAAAAAAAAAAAAAAGTTAGGTGCCAGTAACTCATGCCTATAACACTAGCTACTCAGGAGGCTGAGACCTGAGAACCACCATTTGAAGTCAGCTCAGGGAGAAAAGTCTGTGAGACACTTATCTCCATTTGCCCACCAAAAAGTTGAAATGAGGTTTCTTAGTGGAAGGGATAAGCAAACAAGGGAAGTCTACCCTTCAACTGAAAATGGTATTCTCCAAGGTCATAGCCACAACCTTACCAGTAGTATAGAAAACCTGAAGGAGCCTAGAGCTGGTGGCTCACGCCTGTAATCCTAGCTACTCAGGAGGCTGAGATCTCAGGATCTCAGTTCAAAGCCATCCCAGGCAGGCAAGTCTGTGAGCCTTTTATCTCCAGTAAACCACTAGAAAACCGGAAGTGGCGCTGAGGCTTAAGCGGTAGAGCACTTGCCTTAAGCTGAAGAGCGCAGGGACAGCGCCAGAGTTCAAGCCCCACAACCAACCAAAAAAATAAAACCTGAAGAGCTTCTCCTAGATCCTCAAGAGTTGGAGCATCCTGCCCTCCTTGCAGAATTGTACACTGTCCCATCTACTTGTGCTCACTTACCTGGACAGCTCTCTGGGGAATATTTTCTGTCTCCTCTCCCAGGCTCTTCCACTTGCTCCATGTTACTAATGAGTTTTGACTTGGAGAGTAGAATTTCTGTTCAGAGGTTAAAAAACAAGAAACTTCATTATATGCTCAAGGGATTATTCTAGAACTCAGAGCTAAAATGGCAGGGAAACTCAGATATTATAAAAGACCTATGAATACTATTAAAAGTGTATTAAAGACTAAAAAAAAAAAAAGACCTATGAATATTGAGCTTTCCAAAGCAGGATTGGGGAAGGAAAGATGACTCCAACCAGAAATAAGTGATATTAAGCCAGTGCCAGTGGTTCACGAGTGTAATCTTAGCTACTGAAGGCTGAGATCTGAGGATCATGGTTCAAAGCCAGTAGTAACAGGAAAGCCCCCAAGACTCTTCAATTAACCCCCTAAAAAAGCTGGAAGTGGAGCTGTGGTTTCAGTGGTAAAGCACCAGCCTTGAGCATAAAAAACTCAGGGATAGTGGGGCTGGGAAGGTGGCTCAGTGGTAGAGCTCATGCCTTGCATGCCAGAGGCCCTGGGGTTCAATTCCTCAGCACCACATAAGCAAAAAGAAAAAAGCCGGAAGTGGTGCTGTGGCTCCAGTGGTAGAGCGATAGCCTTGAGCTGAAGAGCTGAGGGACAGCACCCAGGCCCAGAGTTCAGGCCCCATGACCGGACCCAAAAAAACAAACAAAAACTCAGGGATAGGTCCCAGGCTCTGAGTTCAAGTCCCAAGACTAGCACCAAAAAAAGAAAGAAATGATATTAACACTCAGTAGAGTAAAATCTTGAGTTGGAAGCATGATAAAATAAAAACAAAGCCGTGGCCTTGGGAATAAAGGACTGGAATCGTAGTGTTATACATAACATGAATAAGTTACCTGCTTTCAGTGCTACTAAAACCAGATTCACCCAGAGGAAAAAAAGGTATTTTTTTTTTTTCGGTTGGTTGTTGGGCTTGAACTCTGGGCCTGGGCGCTGTCCCTGAGCTCTTCAGCTCAAGGCGAGCGCTCTACCACTTGAGCCACAGCACCACTTCCAGTTTTCTGGTGGTTAACTGGAGATGAGTCTAACTGGAGATGAGTCTCATGGACGTTACTGCCCAGGCTGGCTTTGAACTGTAATCCTCAGGTCTCAGCCTCATGAGTAGCTAGGCTTACAGGTGTGAGCTACCGGTGCTGGCAAGGTTCAGTTTTTTTTTTTTTTTTGTCGGTCGTGGGGCTTGAACTCTGGGCCTGGGCGCTGTCCCTCAGCTCTTCAGCTCAAGGCGAGCGCTCTACCACTTGAGCTACAGTGCCACTTCCGGTTTTCTGGTGGTTTATTGGAGATAGGAGTCTCACGGTCTCTCCTGCCCGGGCTGGCTTTGAACCGCGATCCTCAGATCTCAGCCTCCTGAGTAGCTAGGATTACAGGCGTGAGCCACCAGCGCCCGGCTCAAGGTTCAGTTTTTGTTTGTTTTGCTTTTTTTTGGGGGGGGGGGGAGGGGTCCGGTTGTGGGGCCTGAACTCTGGGCCTGGGTGCTGTCCCTCAGCTCTTCAGCTCAAGGCTAGCATTCTACCACTCGAGCCACAGCACCACTTCCGGCTTTTTTCTTTTTGCTTATGTGGTGCTGAAGAATTGAACCCAGGGCCTCAGGCATGCAAGGCAAGTGCTCTACCACTGAGCCACCTTCCCAGCCCCCTGTTTGTTTTGTTTTTATGATGGTCCATGACAAGTGGAAAATATCCCATGTGGCAATATTGAGGTGGTAAGGGATGCTGTTCTTACCCAATGAGATGAGGTGATTATAGGTCTCCAGCATAACCTCCTTGTGCAGGGTTCTCTGAGCTGGGCTCAACAACCTCCACTCTTCTGGGGTGAAAGCCACGACCACATCACTGAAGGCCACAGAATCCTTTAACACAAAAACACACTCCTGACCATCAGGCATCCTTGTCTACCTTAGGATAGGCAAACAGCATGTCCCTGAGGGAGGAAGGCAATAATTCTAGACCCTACATTGGACCGTGAACTCGGTACCAAGGAAGTCAAAGTCCATTACCCTCCTATCTCCATTCAACACCATTTACATAACAAGAATTTTCACTATCTGCTAATTGCAGAGGGTCAGGAAAAACAAGGAAGGTGTCTCAAACAAAATTAAACAGTAGCTAATCATCTTGCTGAGTTTGAAGAATTTCAGATTAGTCTAAGCACTCTTGTTCTAACTGAAAGCAGGGAGGTAGGAACTTCTAAGGGGAGTAGTAAATACCCAAACAATACATATGTAACACATATGTTACAGGATCTGTCCTGTCCTCAGGCTGCCACTTGCCCTGTTCAGGCTTGAAGCATGGGCTCAAATCACAATGTCTGGATTTCCAGCCTAGCTCTTTCCCCAACTTGAGTAACCTCTGGCTAATTACCTAACTGCTCAGTGCTCAGTTTCTTTTTTTGACTTGAGAATACCAGTGTTCATTTCACAGAGTTGTGATGTGGAATGGCTAAGTTGATAGCTATAAAGAACTTGGACAGGGTCTGGGAATATGGCTTAGTGGGTTCAAATCCTCAGTATCCCATACATAGAAAAACCCGGAAGTGGGACTGTGGCTTAAGTGGTACAGTGCTAGCCTTGAGCAAAAGCTCAGAGACAGTGTCCAGGCCCTGAATTCAAGCCTCAGGACGGCATAAAAATAAATTAAGTAAATAAATAAATGATAAAACATAATAAAATAATAAAAATAAATTTAGAAAAAAGAACTCAAATTCACTGTCCATAATAAGTGCTCAGGCAGGACATTCTGGCACCAATAAACCTCCATCCCCACACTCAGGTCCTCTCCATTACTGTATCCCCTTAACTCTAAGATAATGTACAGGTCATTCATGTTTAATTCTGATTCATGACTATAAGTTTATCCCTATAGCCCCTATACCTAGAATAGAACCTACAAACACTCAAGGAATCAATTTTTTTTAAGGTCTGAGACCAGGACTCAAACTTGATATTTTCATTCACTTGGTGGTGCTCTACCAACTGAACCATGCCTCTAAGCACAGCAATTGATTTTTAAAAAACAATTTTTCATTGAGGAAGAAAATGAACCATGCAACTTGATGGTGGAGATGGGAGATAGGGAATGAGAGAACAGATGCCATTATGCAAAAGGAAATGTACTTATTTCCAGATGTATGTACAGGTAACCCCGCTGCGTATCTCCTCTTTTTTCTTTCTTTTTTTTTTTCATTTTTGCCAGTCCTAGGGATTGAACTCAGGGCTGGGGCACTGTCCCTGAGCCTCTTCTGTACCACTTGAGCCACAGTGCCACTTCTGGCTTTTTCTCTTTTTCTGTATATGTGGTACTGAGGAATCGAACCCTGGGCTTCATGCATAAATTGGATAAGAAATATTTTTGGCAGTCCTGGGTCTGAATTTGGTACCTCACACTTGCTAGACAAGCATTCTGTCACTTGATTCATGCCCTCATCCCAGCACTCATTAAAAAATTATTAAGCCTGGGGCTGGGAAGGTGGCTCAGTGGTAGAGCGCTTGCCTTGCACGCATGAGGCCCTGGGTTCGATTCCTCAGCACCACATAAGCAAAAAGAAAAAAGCCAGAAGTGGCGCTGTGGCTCAAGTGGTAGAGCGCTAGCCTTGAGCTGAAGAGCTGAGGGACAGCGCCCAGGCCCAGAGTCCAGGCCCCACGACCGGACCCAAAAAAAAAAAAAATTATTAAGCCTGAAAATGCTATTAGTAGTAGTACACTAAATTTGAAATGAGCCTCTGCTTCTTGGAAAGCTGAACTTTGGAGAGAGAGAGAGAGAATATCTAACAATCCTTTACATGGTGGTTTTGGTGAAACTTTCAAAACCAAGTAAGCCTAAGGATTCTTCCTAACCTTACATTTATTTGGTTCTAAGACAGAATACAGCCAAGAGCTTGTGGTTCACAACTACTATCCTCACTACTTAGGAGGCTGAGATCTGAGGCTCTCTGTTGGAAGCCAGCCTGGGCAGGGAAAAAAAAAAAATCTGTGAGATTTTTACCTCTAATTAACAAGCAAAAAGCCAGAAGGAGAAGTATGGCTCAAGTAGCAAAGAGCCTTGAGCAAAAAGGCTCAGGAACAGTGCCCAGGCCCTGAGTTCACGCCCCAGATAAGCTGGGTGCCCGTGGCTCACACCTGTAATCTTAGCTACTCAGGAGGCTGAGATCTGGGGATCACAGTTCAAAGCCAGCCCAGGCAGGAAAGTCCATGAGACTCTTATCTCCAATAAACCACTAGAAAACCGGAAGTGGCGCTGTGGCTCAAGTGGTAGAGCGCTAGCCTAGAGCTGAAGAGCACAGGGACAGCGCCCAAACCCAGAGTTCAAGCCCCACGATCGACAAAAAAAAAAAAAAAGATACCATCTGCAGTCCAGAGTTTAGCATGTCTATTGCTCTAAAGTTTTTTGCTTTACTCCTATCTTCACTTACTGAAATATATGCTCCGTCTCTTTAGTGATTTGATTCTATATTCTTTCTTAAAAATCCCATCTCCTGGGGCTGGGAAGGTGGCTCAGCACCCAGGCTCAGAGTTCAGGCCCCACGACCGGACCCAAAAAACAAAAAATCCCATCTCCTCTTTTAAGGATATGACATTCTCTCTCAAACTAATTCCATGCTGTGCCCTTGCCAGGGCTCTATTCCTGTCTGAATTTTCTATGTTACTAGCTTCCCTGCTTCACGTTGCCTTGGTCATGGTATGGTCTCATTCTTACCCACTCTAGTTGCTATCCCCAAAGTCAGTCTGCTCCACTATATTTAGTCCCAAATGAACACAGGAGACTGAGGACTCTGGTTGTCACTCCTTATCTTCAGAAGTACTTTATACCTAACCTGGGGGGTAATTTTAACTCATGGGTTTTTGATTCCCTCCAAAAATCAGTAAGATCAGATTTGCCTAAGGATGGTACTGAAGTTTAATTTCTTTTTTTTTTTGGTCGGTCGTGGGGCTTGAACTGGGCGCTGTCCTTGTGTTCTTCAGCTCAAGGCAAGCGCTCTACTGCTTGAGCCACAGCACCACTTCCGGTTTTCTAGCGGTTTATTGGAGATGAGTCTCACCAACTTTCCTGCCTGGGCTGGCTTTGAACCGAGATCCTGAGATCTCAGCCTCCTGAGTAGCTAGGATTACAGGCGTGAGCCACCGGAGCCCGGCCTGAAGTTTAATTTCTATCTTTACCATCTTGATTTTTTAAAATTATATTTTTATTATCTTTAATTCCACAAAGGTAAGAGGCATCTTCATCAATCTTACCCCTTTCATAGACAAATCCCTTGGTCACTATAACATTTCCACACTATGGCAGGGGTACTGTGCCCTCTGGCAGTCTCTTTAGCAATGCCTTCGTCGGTCCTCAGGCTTAATTCAGCCTGGGCGCTGTCCCTGAGCTCTTCAGCTCAAGGTAAGCACTTTACCACTTGAGCCACGGCGCCACTTCCAGTTTTCTGGTGGTTTATTGGAGATAAGAGTCTCATGGACTTTACTGCCTGGGCTGGCTTTGAACTGCAATCCTCAGAGCTCAGCCTCCTAAGTAGCTAGGATTAGAGGTGTGAGCCATTGGCGCCCAGCTGCTGTCTCTTTTCATTCATACTATTGGACAACATAGGGATCCCTATATTTTCATTTAAAAAAAGTGTTCCATGTGCTCAGCACCAGGGGCTCACGCCTGTAATCCTAGCTTCTCAGGAAACTGAGATCTAAGGATTGCAAAGCCAGCCAGAGCAGGATAGGCTGTGACTTTTTTTGGTGCCAGTTCTGAGGCTTGAACTCAGGACCTGGGCACTGTCCCTCAGCTTCTTTTACTCAAAGCTAACACTCTATTACTTGAGTCACAGCAGCACTTGTGGGTTTTTCTGTGTATGCAGTACTGAGAAATTGAACCCAGGGCTTCATGACTGCTCGGCAAGCACTCTACCACTAAGCCACATTCCCAGCTCTTTAGCCCATGAGATTCTTATCCCTACCCATAGAAAAATCCAGTAGTGGTTCTGTGGCTCTAGTGGTAGAAAGCTAGGCTTTCCCAGAAAAAAAAAAAAAAAAGCTCAAGGACAGTGTCCAGGCCAAGTTCGGGACCCAGGACCGGCAAAAAACAAATAAACCCTGCTCGGTGTGTGTTGCTCACCATTAACAACTTCATGGATGACTGGGGTATGAATGGATGCCATAGAAGATAGGCCACTCCTCTAGGCCCAGGAATGGATTTGGCCAACCCAACAAGGTAGTCTCTGGGACAAGAAAAGTTGGCAGCCAAGATGTAATTACAGACTCATTCTCACCTCTTTTGTGGCTCTTGGGAGCCCCGTGGCCATTTTGCGGCTCTTCTGGGTGCTCTTCTTGGAGAAGGAGACAGATCCAATAAGGATGTGGAGAAGCTGCGTGGGTGGGGGGGAACTCCCGCCCCAAGCGCGGATAAGGAGATCTGCACCAGAGCTCCACCACTAAGGGGTCCGGGATGTCACAGAAATCACCAGCGCAGTCCACTTTCCATTCCGAGATGGGTAAAAGAGGTCCAGGGTGAGCCAACATCTTCAAGGCTCAGCTCCAAACTCTGGCCCATGAGTCCAGAGTCCCCCAGCAAGTCCCGAACCTCAGCAGCCAGAGGAAAGGAAACGTGGCCTGGTATGGGTGTCTCGCAGAACTCCGAGCTAGGAGGCAGTAAAACGCCCGCAGAGGCAGACGGGGACAAAGAGAGGGTCGTTCTGACAGTGGGTGGAGGGGCACTCACGGAAAGCCTGGAGAACGTGGCGGATCCTGAGGAGGAAGCTCCGGTAACCAAGCGCAGAGCTGCGAGAAACACGTGCGTGCCGAGGCCAGACTCCCGGTTACAGCTTCCTGCAGGGACCGGCTGAGGGACCGGAAGTAGTGCTGTGCCTCCGCTTTACACCCAAAAAGGGTCACTGGAAGAGAGCGGAAGTGAGAGCAGAGGATTCTGGGAATTGTAGTTCTGGATACAAGGGGAGCATTGTCTTGGCCGAGTCCATTGCACGCCCTTACAGCCAAATCCAGCAGCCCCTAATCAAGGCGCAGAGACTGGAGAAGGGGGTCATCACAAGTTTCTTCTTCCATAGCCTAGGAAATCTGCTTGCTGAGGCGCCTAAGGATCCTGGAAAATGTGTCCTGGACACCTGTGGACGCTTTGGCCGCCTGTGGGTGAACCTCTGGTAATGAGGTACCCAAAACTCACCCTCAGAATCCCAGCCTTGGGGCTCCCAGCCCAGGGAGTCACACCGACAAGAAAATAGCAGGAGCTGGGAATGTGGCTTAGTGCTAGAGTGCTTGCCTAGCATGCATGAAGCCCTGGGTTTGATTCTTCAGTACCACATTAATAGAATTGGTGCTGTGGCTCAAGTGATACAGTGCTAGCCTTGACCAAAAGAAGCTCAGGTGACAGTGTCCAGACTCTGAGTTCAAGCCCCAGGACTGGCAAAAAAACAAAAACAAACAAAAAAACCACCTCAGTTAATAAAGGCTAGGCATAATGGGAACACCTATAATTCTGACTATGCAAAAAATATAAATAATAATAACTAGGATATGGAAACAACCCAGATGCCCTACCACAGATGAATGGATACAAAAATTGTGGTATCTATACGCAATGGAATATTATGCAGCCATTAGAAATGACAAAATAATGACATTTGCAGGGAAATGGGTGGACCTAGAAGAAATCATGTTGAGCAAGGTAAGCCAAGAGCAAAGAGACAAACGGTACATGGTCTTCCTGATAAGTGGATGTTAAATCCAAAATGTTAGGTGATACGACAAAATTAACAAGACTTAAGAAACAAAGAACTTCCACTCATCTAGTCAAACCACTACTAAATAACCCCATGCTGCTGATCACAAGTATGATGTATATGTGTACACCGTTATATGTTATAGACTGTGATAGACAATTTGCTCCAGGAAAGTTAGAATGAGTTTGTGACTTTAAATGAGCATCACTATTCCACAATACTGTGAAATTTGGGAAATTATGTAATCACTTAATCACAATTAAAAAAAAAAAAACACACTAGAAAACTAGAAGTGGCGCTATGGGTCAAGTGGTAGAGCATGAGCCTTGAGCTGAATTGCTGAGGGACAGCTCCCAGGCCTAGAGCTCAAGCCCCATGACTGACAAAAAAAAAAAAAAGATCTTTCATGTGATTGTTCCTAACATATTTATAAGATTATGTCTTTGTTGCCTTGTATGCCCCTCCCCCATGGTATAACCCCTGCTTTCACTATATATGATGTTGGTATATGTGGAGGGGAAGGGAAAAAACAAATTGTTAAAAACAGGGATACAGGAGGACCCACTGCAACAATGAGATGTACAAGTCGTTATGTCAAAAAACAAACTTTACAACTTTGGTGGGGAGGGATGGGGGGAGGGGAGGGAGGGGGGATACGAAGGGACGGGAAGGGGAAACAAAGCAGGAGGCTACAATGCTTGATAAGAAATGTGCTCATTATCTTACCCATGTAATTGTAACCCCTCTGTACAGTATTTTCACAATTAAAAAAATTAAAAATAATTAAAAAAATAAAAAAAAGTTGCATTCAGGCTGGTACAGACAAAAAGTGAGACTATACTTGACAAAAAATGATAGATGACACTAAGATGTTTTGTGCTCATAAACATGTCAAATTAAAACCCCTTTGGAGCTGGGAAGGCAGCTCAGTGGTAGAGTGCTTTCCTTGCATGCATGAAGCCCTGGGTTTGATTTCTCAGCACCACATAAGCAGAAAAAGCCAGAAGAGGTGCTGTGGCTCAGTGGTAGAGCCCTAGCCTTGAGCTGAAGAGCTGAAGGACAGTGCCCAGGTCCACAACTGACCACAACTGACCGGAAAAAAAAAAAAAAAGCCAGGTGCTGGTGGCTCATGCCTGTAATCCTAGCTACTGAGGAGGCTGAAATCTGAGGATGATGGTTCAAAGCCAGCCTGGGCACAAAAGTCCATGAGACTCATCTCAATTAACCACCAGGAAACCAAAAGTGGTGCTGTGGCTCAGTGATAGAGTGCTTGCCTTGAGCTGAAGAGCTGAGGGACAGTGCCCAGGCCCAGAGTTCAAGTCCCATGAGCAACAAAAATAAATATAAATAAATAAAACCCTTTTGTACAACTAAAGATAGTAAAAATTATAATCTTTTTTTTTTTTTGTATTTGGTTGGTTTTGGGGCTTGAACTCTGGGCCTAGGCACTGACCCTCAGCTCTCTAGCTCACAGTAAGTGCTCTGCTTGAGCCACAGCACCACTCCATTTTCTGGTGGTTTATTGGAGATGAGAGTCTCATGGACTTTCCTGCCCAGGCTGGCTTTGAACTGAGATCCTCAGATCTCAGCCTTCTGAGCCACTGGTGCCCAGCTTATAGATAGATAGAGATATGTACACACACACACACACACACACACACACACACACACACACACACACACAAAACAAAAAGTTTGAAACCATTTTAGAGTACATATCAATTTCCAAGGCAGCCTAAGCTAAACAGGCTATCTAGCAAGACAACAGCTGCAAAATAAAGCAAACACACACGTGCAAACACACATATGAAGTATAAACTTAGTCCAGGGGCTAGGAAAGGTGGTTCAGTAGTAGAGTGCTTGCCTTGCATGTATGAGGCCCTGGGTTCAATTCCTCAACACCACATAAGCAGGGGGGGAAAAAAGCTGGAAGTGGTGCTGTGGCTCAAGTGGTAGAGCGCTAGCTAGCCTTGAGCTGAAGAGCTGAGGGACAGTGCCCAGGCTCAGAGTTCAGGCCCCACAACTAACCAAAAACAACAACAACAACAACAACAGAAAGTCTAGATTTTTAGATATTTGACAGAATAATTTATTTCATTTTTTGCCAGCCCTGGGGCTTGAACTTGGGGCCTGGGCACTGTCCCTGAGCTTCTTTTGTTAAAGGTTAGCACTCTACCACCACGTCCAGCTTTTTCTATTTATGTGGTACTGAGGAATCAAACCAGGGCTTCCTGAATGCTAGGTAAGCACTTTACCACTAAGGCACATTCCCAGCCCCCTATTTCTGCTCTTTTTTTTTTTTTAACCAGTCCTGAGACTGAACTCAGGCCCTAGGCACTGTCCCTGAGCTGCTTTTGCTCAAGGTTAGCACTCTGCCACATGAGCCACAGTGCCACTTCTGGCTTTTCTGTGTATGTGGTGCTGAAGAATCGAACCCAGGGCTTCATTCATGCTAGGCAAGGACTCTACCACTGAACCACCTTCCCAGCCCTATTTCTGCTCTTTATAATGAATAATTCCACCTCTCAAACATTGACCTTTGATTGTTTTAGGTGTTTTAATTCTGCAATAACTTTACTATTCTGTAGAGCAATTTGATATATGCATGCATATTGAGTTATAAAATCTTCAATACCATTTTTTTTTTTTGGTGGTGGTCCTGGGGCCTGAACTCACATTTAGGGTGCTATCCCTGAGCTTCCTTTTGCTCAAGGCTCGCACCCTACCACTTGAGTCACCATGCCACTTCCAGCTTTTTCTGAGTAGTTTACTGGCGATCTCATGGACTTTCCTACCCAGGCTGGTTTTGAACTGTGATCCTTAGATCTCAGGTAACAGGCATGAGCCACTGATGCCCAGCTCAACATAGCTTTTACCATATCTTAGATTTCTCAAAGCATGACTTAACAAAATATGGAGACTTTTCTCATCTCCTTCTGCTGTTCAGACAAGTGTGCCTATGCAATCCACAGGATTTCATACTGGAATTCTCAGAAAAGCAGAAAATACAAAGTACAAATAAATACTAACCACAATTTTTTTTCAATTTGATGCTGAATTAATAATGAGTGATGGGGAAAGACTTTCTTTCCGATAAGCATAGTTATTTCTTTTCATTACAAATTGTCTCATTTGGGCTGGGAAGGTGGCTCAGTGGTAGAGCGCTTGCCTTGCATGCCTGAGGACCTGGGTTCAATTACTCAGCACCACATAAGCAAAAAGAAAAAAGCCGAAGTGGCGCTGTGGCTCAAGTGGTAGAGCGCTAGCCTTGAGCTGTAGAGCTGAGGGACAGTGCTCAGGCCCAGAGTTCAGGCCCTACGACCAGACCCCCCCCCCAAAAAAAATTGTCTCATTTCTGTAAATAACAGCCAAAAATCCCTTTTACACATTGGAGTTTAGTTCTCTGATAGAGCACCTACCTTGCATACATAAGATCCTAGTTCCATCCCCATTACCACCTCATACATACACATAAAATATCCATCCCCCAAAGCATAAGGAAGACAAATATGATAATGAACCTAATAGTGATGATGGATAAAAACTTTTATTAAACACATACTGCATTTTAGAAATAGAGCTAAATACTTTATAGCCATCCTACGTCCTTACAAAAAGACAATGCAAGAGAATAAATATAATTTTTACATAAAAAGTACCACTAACAAGTATTAAAAAACATATCTAGAAAGATAAACAATATTTTCATAACAATTATATTTCTTGTAGGGTTAGGATTAGGTTTAATGAAAATAGTTTACAAGGAGACAATGTGGACACTTTCAGTAATTAAATGTTTTAAAAGTAAAATCTAAACATCCAAAGATAAATTTTGGGTCCATTTAATAAGGACAGCTTTGTAACTACAAAAATTTACAGGCAATTGTAAGAGTAATCCCTCCAGGCTACTAAGTAACTCATTGAAAATAGAAAACTATTAAAATGGAAAATACAATTTTTTGAGATTAAAAAAAGCAGGTATAAAAATAAATAAAAGGTATTCATATCATCCTGCCCACCCTTCAAAAACAAAGTATAGGTGGGTGCCAATGGTTCAGACCTGAAATCCTAGCTACTCAGTAGGCTGAGATCTGAGGATCCTAATTGCAAGCCATCCTGAGCAGTTGTGGGGCTTTAACTCTCGGTTCGGGTGCTGTCCCTCAGCTCTTCAGCCCAAGGTGAGCACTCTACCACTTGAGCCACAGTGCCACTTCCCAGTTTTCTGGTGGTTAATTGGAGATGAGAGTCTCACTGAGGACTGGGAAGCTGGCTCAGTGGTAGAGCGCTTGCCTTGCATGCATGAGGCCCTGGGTTCGATTCCTCAGCACCACATAAGCAAAAAGAAAAAAGCTGGAAGTGGCGCTGTGGCTCAAGTGGTAGAGCGCTAGCCTTGAGCTGAAGAGCTGATGGACAGCGCCCAGGCCCCACGACCAGACCCCCCCCCCAAAAAAAAAAAATAGTCTCACTGACTTTGCTGCCCAGGCTGGCTTTGAACCATGATCCTCAGATCTCAGCCTCCTAAATAGCTAGGATGACAGGCGTGAGCCACCGGCATCCGGCTCTGTGAGACTCTTATCTCCACTTAACTACCAAAAAGCTGGAAGTAGAGCTGTGGCTCAAGTGGTAGAGCACTAACCTTCTACAAGAATGCTCAGGGAAAGTACCCAGGCTTACGATTGGCTTTAAAAAAAAAAAAAAAAAAAGTTGAAGAGGACAATCTCTAATTTGTGTTACTCATTAGTATGAGTTCCCTTATGATCCGTGAGATCAGAATCATTATTAAATTCTTTTCCTCATTGCTTATACTCACAAGGCTTCTCATCAGCATGAATTCTCTGATGGCGAGTAAGGTTTGAGCATTTATTAAAGGCCTTTCCACATTCATGACATACAAAAGGCTTTTCCTCTGTGTGGATTCTCTGATGTTGATAAAGTTGTGAGTTATGAGTAAAGGCTTTCCCACATTTAAGACATTCAAAGGGCTTTTCGCCAGCATGAATTTTTTGATGCTGACGAAGTTGTGAGCTCTGAGTAAAGGCTTTCCCACATTCTTTACAATTGTAGGGTTTCTCTCCAGTGTGGATCCTCTGGTGATTAGTCAGCGCAGAGCCACTGCTGAAGGCTTTCCCACACTCCTTGCACTCATAGGGCTTCTCCCCAGTGTGGATTCTCTGATGTTGAACAAGCTTTGAGCTCTGAGTAAAAGCTTTGCCACACTGCTTACATTCATAGGGCTTCTCTCCTGTATGAATTCGCACATGCTGAAAAAGCTGGGAGCTCTTAGTGAAGGCTTTCCCACAAACTTTACACCCATAGGGCTTTTCACCAGTGTGAATTCGCTGATGATCAATCAGATTTGAGCAGTAACTAAAGGCTTTCCCACATTCCTTACATTCATAGGGTTTCTTACCCGTGTGAATTCTCTGGTGTTGAGAAAGGTATGAGCTACAACTGAAGGTTTTTCCACATTCTTTACATTTAAAGGGTTTTTCGCCACTGTGAATTTTCAGATGGCGAGTGACATGTGAGCCACAACTAAAGAATTTCCCACATTCCTTACATTCATAAGCCTTTTCACCAATATGAAGTCTTTGATGTTGAATGAACTGTGAGTTCTGACTAAAGGCCTTTCCACATTTCTTACACTGATAAGGTTTCTCTTCATTGTTACTTATTGGATGTAGGATAAATGAGGGCGTGTATCCATGAGTGAATATTTCTTGGCTTAAATGTCCATCTTGATATCCCAACTGTCTTGTCAAGTTGCTTCTATATTCCAAAACATCTCTAAAAGGGGAGTATTCCAGTCCATACTTAGTAAGTCCCATTATCTCCCTCTGATATGATTCTATTTCATAAACTTCCTTCTTTAGAGACAACAACTTGCTTTCACACATTGATTCCAGATCTGAAAAAAAACAAACTAGTAAACATTCTTTTCTTTCTCTTTGTGAAAAATTAAAACTTTTATGATGGAAATGGAAATATTAAGGCAAAAGTATTACCCAGTTGTTCTCATGTAAATATGTTTACCATGAAAAACAGACAAGCAGTGTACAGAAATTAATAAATATATCTGGACATTGGGGGCGTAGGCCTGTAATCTTAGCTACTCAGGAGGCTGAGATCTAAGCGTTGTGGTTTGAAGCCAGGAAAGTCTGTGAGACTCATCTCCAATTAACTAAAAGCCAAAAGTGAAATTGTGGCTCAACTGGTGGTATACTAGTCTTGAGACCAAAAAGCTTATGGACAGCACCCAATCCCTAATTTCAAAGACTGGGGGGAAAAAAAAGAAAGAAAGAAGGAAGGGAGACAGGAAGGAAAGAAGGAAGGAAAAATAAAGGAAGGGAGAGAAAAAAGGGAAAAAGTAAAATATATGGTAGGAAGCAGACAGAGGAGACTATACCACAGTGATTATCAAGTATGGATGTGAGGAAGTGGCGCTGTGGCTCAAGTGAAGTGGTAGAGCGCTAGCCTTGAGCTGAAGAGCTGAGGGACAGTGCCCAGGCCCAGAGCTCAGGCCCCATGACCAACAACAAAAAAAAAAAAAAGTGGCAATGTCAAGTATGGATGTGAGTCAGAATCACTGGGAATTGTTGGTAAACATATAATGCTTGAGCCATAATAGTAACGCATGATTAGTAAAACGTGTGTATATGTGTATGCTTGTGTGTATATGTATTATACATATAAATGTGTGAGTCATACATACACACACACACACACACACACATGATTTTTATTTTATTTTTTTTGTCAGTCGTGGGGCTTGAACTCTGGGGCCTGGGCGCTGTCCCTCAGCTCTTTAGCTCAAGGCGAGCGCTCTACCATTTGAGCTATAGTGTCACTTCTGGTTTTCTAGTGGTTTATTGGAGATAGGGGTCTCACGGTCTTTCCTGCCTGGGCTGGCTTTGAACCGCAATCCTCAGATCTCAGCCTCCTGAGTAGCTAAGGATTACAGGAGTGTGCCACCGGTGCCTGGCTATTCTTCTGTTCTAAATTTTTTTTTGGTTAGTTGTGGGGCCTGAACTCTAGGCCTGGATAGTGTCCCTCAGCTCTTCAGCTCACGGCTAGCACCCTACCACTTGAGCCACAGCTCCACTTCCAGCCTTTTCAGCTTACGTGGTGCTGAGGAATCGAACCCAGGGCTTTATGCATGTAAGGCAAACACTCTACCACTGATCCACCTTCCCAACCCTGATGAGGCATTTCTTACTTACCTGAACATAGGCTTCTGGTAAGTTCTCTGCCAACCATCCAGGGCTCTTTCCCTTGTTCCAATAAGGAGATCACTTGAGGCTTAGGAATATAAAATCCTGTTCATGAGAAAAGACATGGAACTTGGTTATGCAGTGGGCAAATGAGATCCATTCTTTTGATGATCAAGCAAGAGATGCCATGACAGGAACAGCTAAAGAGGATAATACTTCAGCCATAGCCCACTGGAGCTGCCCATTGCCAAGGCTTCCTTTCCATTTTAAGAAGGAGAAGAAGGAACAGAAATGTCAAGGGTTTACTGGAAAAGCAGCTAAGAGTTTCACTGTGGAAAAAGGAGACATTCCAAAGGAGAGCTGTGGATTTCTGGTATCAATGCCCTTACCCATTGAAAGCAGATTGCTATAGTTCTCCAACATCACATCTCTGTACAAGTCCCTCTGAGCAGGGTCCAGGCATCCCCATTCTTCCTGAGAGAAGTCTATGGACACATCACTGAACACCACCGATTTCTGAAACTATAAACATATGTGCTCGCTGTGTAAGTGAGAAATGTTTCTGAGACTATTGTCCTTGTATTGTTGGATGAACCAAGTCAGTAGTTGTGTTGGTGTCACTGAGAAACAGTATCTTTGAGCTCAGGAGTAATGATATGATTTTAGACTTTGAAAAGGGAGCAATATCCTCACTCTGCCCATACAAAGGTCTGGGAACAACTGCTAACATGGTAGGCAGAGAACACCAAGTCACTAGCTTGTTTTCTAGTACCATTTTCAAATACAAGAACAGGGTTAAGTCACAAAGGATCAGGATGAGTCTGAACACCTTGTTAATACCACAAAGGAAGAAAGTTACCAAAAGCTACTAAGATCATGTTGAAAAGCCACCTGGAAAACATTTCTCTGGGCCCAAAATTGCACAACCTGTTACACAAACTTAGAAGAATCATAATTGCAATGGACTTACCTCATTAAAAATGTTTCATCTGCCAACTTAACACAGGTTGAAAAAAAATGTATAGTTACTCTTGGAGGATTTTTTTTTTTTTTTTTTTTGCCAGTCCTGGGGCTTGAACTCAGGGCCCAGACACTGTCCCTGAGTTTCTTTTGCTCAAGGCTAGCACTCTACCACTTAAGCCACAGCTTTTTCTGTTCATGTGGCACTAAGGAATTGAACCCACGGCTTCATGCATACAAGGCAAGCATTCTACCACTAAGCCATATTCCTAACCCCTATGAAATTTTTTTTTACATTTAAAACAAATTTTTTCTTTATTAATTCAACAAACATTTATTGACTTGTAGAGGCACTGGGGATTCAGTAGCACTCTGTATGGATAAAAAAATCTCTGCTCTTCTAAAAATTATATCCTGTCAGGAGGCAGACAAACAGCAAGATTAACAAATGAGTAAAATATATGGTATGTTATAAAGTGATAGTTATTAGGGAGAAAAACAAACCCAGATATTTGGGATACAAAAATTTCTCAGGGACTAGGAGATAAAATCTTAAAGGGAATGCTACAGAAGATCTCAAAAGGAAATTTCCTTTGAAAAAATATAACTAAATTTTACAATAAAAGAAAGAAAGAAAAACGAACTTTACAACTTTGGGGAGGGTGTTAGGGGAAACAAAGGAGGAGGCAATAATGCTTGATACGAAATGTACTCATTTCCTTGCTCATGTAATTGTAATCCCTCTGTACAGTATTTTCAAAATAAAAAACTTATTTTAAAAAAATGAAAAAATATGACTAAAGGCTGAGTGCCAGTGGCTCATACCTCTAATTCTAACTTCTCAGGATGCTCAGATCTGAACACTGCAGTTCAAAGCCAGAGCAGGGAAATCTGAGACTCTTATCTTCAATTAACTACCAAAAATCCAGAAGTGGACCTATGGCTCAAATGGTAGAGTGTCAGTGTTGAACAAAAGAAAATTAAGCAAAGAGCACAAGGTCCTGATTTCAAGCTCCAGTACTGGCACAAGATGGAAGGAAGGAAGAAAGGAAGGGAAGGAGGGAGGGAGGGAGGAAGGAAGGGAGGGAAGGAGGGGGAAAAAAAAGAAAGGAAGGAAGGATAATAAGAGTATAATTAAATAGCTTTGGAAAAACTGATCAAACATTAATGAAAGAACAGAACAGTGCCCCCGGAACACTATTAACAGTGAAATAGATGACATATATTTGTATACATTAAAGTAGAATACACATGTATTAAACTCATGCATACAGATAAATAATATTAGGAATGAGCTAGATTACAAAAGTTACACAACATATTTTCACTGAAGAATTGTAGCTGGCTTTACTAACACATTTAGAATGGGCAGATACTTGGGAGCACTACCAAATTTTCAAAGTTACTCCAATTATATCTACCAATGAATGCAATGATTTTAAATTGAGTTGGGACACAAGACATTTAGTCCAACCTCTTTTTTTTTGGGTGGGGGGGGTCCGGTCATGGGGCCTGAACTCTGGGTCTGGGCGCTGTCCCTCAGCTCTTCAGCTCAAGGCTAGCGCTCTACCACTTGAGCCACAGCGCCACTTCTGGTTTTTTTTTCCTGCTTATGTGGTTCTGAGGAATTGAACCCAGGGCCTCATGCATGCAAGGCAACCACTCTACCGAGCCAACTTCCCAGCCCATTCAACCTCTTATTTTATAAATAAGAAATTGCTCACTTAACCATAGCACACAATTTTTAGAAGCAACCAAAAGAAGAACCAATTTCTCCTAACTGCTAACTCTACATTTTAATTATATATGGCTTTTTATAAGATATTCCTATGAAATATTTTTGACAAAAAATCCCAACTAACTTTCATCAAGTTTTATATTTCACTAACAATTTCCAGGACACAATTAGTAAAAGCCAAACAGTAGATAAATGAAGTTTATTTATTGTCTGAAAAAAACCTGCATAGAAAGAGGGAAGGGGTATCTATATTAGAGACTCAAGAGACATCAATAAATCACAAGGCATAGTCTTTTTCTATATTACCAAATGTAATACTTTAAAAAGCATTATATGCTGGACATGTGGCTCATGCCTGTCATCCTAGCTACTCAGGAGGCTGTGATCTGAGGACTGTGGTTCAAAGCCAGCCCGGAGAAGGAAAGTCTATGAGACTCTTATCTCCAATTAACCACTAGAAAACCAGAAGTGGTGCTGTGTCTCAAGTGGTAGAGCTCTAGCCTTGAGTGAAAGAGCTCAAGGACAGCAACTAGGCACTGAGTTCAAGCTCCACAACTGACATAAAAAAAAAAGTAGACCTAATGGAAGGTCTTCCAATTATTGATTATGTGCCCTTGAAATAGATACGGGAACTGGGGCCCCTTCTACTTCTTCCTTTGCTTTCTGCTCATGAGGTGAACGGCTTTGTTCTACCATACAACTCCTGCCATGGTAAGTTGTCTCAACAGAGACTCCAAATAATGGATCCAAAGGACCATGGACTATGAGCTAGAAGCAACCTTTACTCCTTAAACTTTACTATCTCTGGTATTTGTTAGAAAACACAGCTAAAACGAATGCTCTAATGTAGTGGCAAAGATCTGTAGTAGCCACCAACAGCACCAGTCCCAAGCCCTCACACACTGAGGGAATCTTTCAACAATTTAACATTTAGTACTAGCAATATCACCTTTCATCTCTTTTTTAAAGAAAATTCTCCTCTGTTCCATAGTCTTGGATTGTTTATGTTTGTTTCTAGCTAAGATTCACATTGCCACATTGTAAAAATCATGTTTAGGGTCAGGCAATGTCAGACTACTTCATTCTACAAATCTACTCTGGCTTCCCTCACTGGATTCTTTTGTGTCATCATTCCTAGGAGAAGACTGGAAAAAAAAAAAAAAGGATGCCCAGTTACTTCACTGAATAAAAATATGAATGCTGGGGCTGGGAAGTTGGCTCAGTGGTAGAGTGCTTGCCTTGCATGCCTGAGGCCCTGGGTTCGATTCCTGAGCACCACATAAGCAAAAAGAAAAAAGCCGAAAGTGGTGCTATGGCTCAAGTGGTAGAGCGCTAGCCTTGAGCTGAAGAGCTGAGGGATAGTGCCCAGGCTCAGAGTCCAGGCCCCACGACTGTACCCCCCCAAAAAATATGAATGCTGGTTGAAAAGAAAAAAACATGCTATCAATTTATTCATGGAGCATGAGAGAAAATGGAGATCGAAATGTCAGGATAAGGTAAGTAAACATATCTCTTTTCTTTTTTCTCTTTCCTTTGAGATAGGGGTCTCACTGTGTAACTTAGGCTGGTTTAGAACTTGCTACACTCCTGTCTCAGCCTCCCTAGAAGCCAGGATTACAGGAGTGTATCATCACTGTAACTGGGCCATATGCAAAAAGCATTAAATATCAGTAAGGCAAGAAGCAGCACCAACTTACCACAGCCATGGCTTTCAGAATTGCAGGAGCTGATCAGTCTTCCACAGGGCTGTCTCCTGAAAAAAGACAGTTGTTCTCTAAAGGTAAGACAGGAAAACCAAAGAAATGCTCTAGCAACTACATTGGCTTTACAGGTCTCAGAATAGTCTGAAAAAACAATTGCTATTTGCCTTTTTTTTTTTTTTTTTTTTTGGCAGTCCTAGGGCTTGAATTCAGGGCCTGGGCACTGTCCCTGAGCTTCTTTTGCTCAAGACTAGCTCTCCGCCACTAGAACCACAGCGCCACTTCTGGCTTTTTCTGTGTATGTGGTACAGAGGAATCGAACCCAGGGTTTCATGCATGCTAGGCAAGCACTCTACCACTGTGCCACACTCCCAGCCCCATGCCTTGTTCTTATGATACAACATTACTTAGTAGAGACCCCAGGTATTAGCTACAGCTAAATAGATCCTTGTAGATGACTCGAAGGGAGGAAAGTCTCCATCCACAATTAAACATTCTCCCCATCCAAAAACAAACAAAAACAAAACTCAGGTTCTGGCCTAGCAGAGAGATTCAAGCCTCACCCTAGTGATGTGGTTGCTCAGAACCCAATACAGTTCTGAGCTGTTAGAACCTGTCCTGAACACTTCCCTTCTCTCCTTTTTTTTTTTTTTTTTGGGGGGGGGGGGTCTGGTTGTGGGGCCTGAACTCTGGGCCTGGGTGCTGTCCCTCAGCTCTTCAGCTCAAGGCTAGCGCTCTACTACTTGAGCCACAGCGCCACTTCCGGCTTTTTTCTTTTTGCTTATGTGGTGCTGAGGAATCGAACTCAGGGCCTCAGGCATGCAAGGCAAGTACTGTACCACTGAGCCACCTTCCCAGCCCAACACCTCCCTTCTCTATAGCTTCCAGGACCAGCAAGATAAATTCATTTAAGTGGTGCTCTTTGGCCAGGAACACACAATTCACTCAGAGCAGAGGACTGAAGACTTCCCAGATGTTACCTTTTTCCTTCCCAAGCCCAAGAGACTTAATTAACTCCACCCCCTCCCCCACCCTCCGGCCACATTGTTTGAAAAGTACACAGAGATGCTCTTCATTCTTACCTTCTAGCTCAGCTTTTGGAAAAAATCAAAACACAAAAAAATCTTTTTGGTTTTAAACCTGTTCATGTTGTCTTTCCTCTACAACTTAAATGTTTTCATTTGTTACATGTAAGTATTTTTGTGGGTAGGGATGAGTATTGGGGCCCTTTCACTTGGTATTTTCACTCAAAGCTGACACTCTACCACTTGAGCAATACCTATACTTCGAGCTTTTTACTGGTTAATTGGAAATAAGAGTCATGGACTTTTTTGTCCAGGCTTGCTTTTGTGATCCTCAGATCTCAGAATGAGCCACAGCACCTTTTTTTTTTTTTGGTCGGTCATGGGGCCTGAACTCTGGGCCTGAGTGTTGTCCCTCAGCTCTTCAGCTCAAGGCTAGCAGTAAACCACTTGAGCTACAGTGCCACTTCCAGCTTTTTCAGCTTATGTGGTGCTAAGGAATTAAACCCAGGGCCTCATGCATTCAAGGCAAGTACTCTACCATTGAGCCACCTTCTCACATATGTGTGTGTATGTGTGTATATATACACACATATATACATATATATGTATATATACATGTATACATACACACACACATATATATGCACACACACATATATATACACACATATAGATACACACCTGTGTGCATAATTATATATACATATGTGGACAAACATAGGATATAAATCTATATAAAAGACTACTTAGGAGGAGAATGGGAAAAGGAAAGGGAAAAAGAAAGATAGCAGGTGAATAATTTTGACATAAACTGACTACATATGAAAATAGCACAATGAACTTCAATGATATATTATTGATCCACAGAGGATTGGGAGGGAGGGGAAACAGAAAAAGTCCTACCTACTCATCTACACATTTATAGACACCCTCAGACATAGCACAACAAAAACCACAATGAGGGCTGGGAAGGTGGCTCAGTGATAAGAGTGCTTGCCTGGCATGCATAAAGCACTGGTTTGATTCCTCAGCACCACATAAGCAGAAAAAGCCTGAAGTGGCACTGTGGCTCAAGTGGTAGAGCACTAGCCTTGAGCTGAAGAGCTGAGGAACAGCGCCCAGGCCCAGAGTTCAGGCCCCCTGACCAACAAAACACACACACACACACACACACACACACACACACCACAATGATACAACATGGACACAATGTGACATTCAATATGAGCCATGCAGTTTATAGTTCCCCAATTGAGGCTTACACAAAAATGCACATTCAAATAATCCACCATCACCAAGACATCTACACTGTCACCTTGGCAGTTACATGCATCCTCCATCTCTACAGAAAGTGCCACGTGAAGTTACCCAATCACACATCCTTCACAGTCACATGCACCCAAGTATACCTACTGCTAGTAACCCCCGACACAATCACACACACACAGGCGCTTGTAAGAATAGCACTGGAATATACAAAATCAGTGATTTCCTATCTCCCACTCCCAAACACAGTCACCACAGAGTTATAGGGCCACACAGAATCACAGCCCAGTCAGAGGGACACAAAACATCCGTACACACACAGATCCACCTTGTTACAACCACAAACCTACAACAAGAATGTGCAGTCACAGCTCACGTGTGTTGTCATAGGCACACGCATGCACAGTGACACACCCGCTAGGGGACCCTAACAATCACACTGGCAGCCACATAGTTACACACACACACGCCCACAACTCACGACTACTCTCCCAGCTAATTCGATTCCCACCCGGCCATCATTCCACACCTCCTACCCCAGAGCACTAATGGATTAGGCCGCTTACCACGTACTTGTCTTCCCCCAAGGCCCCTGAACAAGCAAGGAGGCGGGCTGAAGGGCGGGGGGGGGGGGCGGGGAAGGCGCTCTTCTTGCAAAGGCTTCTGGGAATTGTAGTCGTGGCCAGGCTACACAGGGAAAATGGCATTCATCCACTTACGGCCCTAAGCAGGCCAACAACTGTGGCCCGCACTTGGGACTACGGTCCCAAACCTTCGGGACCCAGAGTCCAGTTTGGAGTCGGCTGGGGCCGATATTCTGGAGATAAGCGTCCTCCACGGTCACTATGGATGGCTGTTCCCTGAGAGGCGGGACAAGGAGGCCCTGTTCGCGCCGGAAGTTAAATCGAGCCTCCAGGATTTCTGGGTAATGTAGTCTAGAGCGGGAGGGGGAACCTGCGAAGTTCTGTGATGAATGGAAGAAAAATTGCTTTAATGACTTTCTGCACTCAGTCTGCCTGCAGGGTCTGGAATTTGGCAGTTGTGACACTCTGGGAATTCGTGGCCTAAGTGAAAGGTTCGGAGATTTTACTTTTCTCCACGAGGCAGCCATAGTATTGTATTTACATGCAATTTCCATCAGCAGCAGCTCCATGGACGCTGATTACATTAGTTAATAAGGGCTGTCAGAGATAGCGGAAAATATGATTGCTAAGCAGGTATTGGATTCTTCTTGGGGGCGGGAGAAGTGGTTAGAATCCATATGTACACGTATATACATATATACCTACTGTAGTGCCCCAGTTTCCCAACAAGACACCCTAACACTCGGTCAATTAGGCTAGAAGTCTTTATTACCGCGCAGTGTCTGCATTCAGCTCGCAGAGCTTAAGAATGCAGCGACGATATACGGATCTGCTGGGTACTTAAGGACACAAGCCACACGCAGGTGGCAAGCAAGCGACAATTATGGGCAGGTAGCAGGAATTTTGCGCTGGGGGTACAGAAACGAATTACGCCGTTAGCAGGCGGTTATACTTGGTTTCCCTCTCACCCATTTCTCAGATTCTGTGGAGTCCAGGCTTGATTAATGTAATAACCCATGGGGCCCCGATAATCAGCGGGGCTCAATAGTGTGGCCCCGTGGCCCGGCCTGCTGGATGGGGTGGGGCATCGACAGTCAAGCCTCACAGCTCCACAGACCAGGCCACTGGACCCAGCAGGGCATGGAGAAGCTGACTTCACCGCCCGGAGGGGCTTGCCGTGCCCTGAAAGGCGGGGCATGCTACTGCAGGGGTGGGGCGCCGAGCCCCACCTGTGAGCTGTTAGGAAGTGATTGGACAGTGAGAAGCTTGGGGGAGGAGCATGAACAGCAGTTGGAAAACCGTTAGGAAAAAAACAAACTGTGGAGGAAGGAGTATTAGGAGTGGAGGGAGAGGCGGCAGGAAGGGAAAGCCTTCTGAAGCAGGGCAGGCCTGTGGAGAGGCCATTTGGCGCTTCTCGAGGAAGCCATTTGGGGCCTCGAGGGGCCATTTGGGACCTCCTCTGAGGGCCATTTGGGGCCTCCTTCGGAGGTCATTGGGGCCTTCCTCTAGAGAGGCCTGTGGAGAGTGGAGAGGCCTGCAGAGGAGGAGGAAGGGAAGAAAGGGAAAAGCCTTCCCCTTTGGAGCTCTGGAGGGCTGAGGTTTGCAGACCAATTAATAAAGGTCAGGGGGTCAGGCTGCCTATTGGAGGCTTGGAGGTCTGGTGGTTGAGGCTGCTCTTGGTTCTGGGTATCTTTCCCAGGACGAGGTAGTCTCTGTTAGGTTTTTAAAAAGAGATAGCAGAGTAAGAACAGCAGCACTCACGTGCTATTCAGGTAAGGGGTAGGTTTATTCAGTAGACCTGCTGGGACCAGGCAAGGTTGGCACTCCACGTGGCTGGGAAAGGCCTGGGAATGAGAGAGAGCTGGGAAAGAGAGGAAACAGAGAGGAAAGAGCTAGAGCAGAGAGAAAGCAGAGAGAGCTAGAAAAGAGCAGCAAGAGAGATAGAGAGAACTAGAAAAGAACAGCAAAAGAGGAAAGAGAAAAGAGCTAGAGCAGAGAGAAAGCAGAGAGAGCTAGAAAAGAGCAGCAAGAGAGTAGAGAGCTGAGAGCAGAGAGAGCTAGAAAAGAACAGAGAGAACAGAGAAAGCTAGAATAGAGCAGTGAGAGCAGAGAGAGCGAGCAGAGAGAGCGAGCAGAGAGAGCTAGAATAGAGCAGTGAGAGCTAGAAAAGAACAGAGAGAGTCTGGGCCTGGGCTAGCCCTTATGTAGGGTATGGGCGGAGAAAGGTGTGGCCACATCAAATTCAGATGTGCCCTCAGAGGACGCAGATGTGACCTCTGTGACCTCTTCCAGGTGTCCCAGTTGCCTAGGTAACGCAGGTACTGGGTAGAGACTTTGCTGAGAGGAGGGTGGAGTCCGCTGGCCATCCAGGAGCCGACCTTACAGTCTCAAGACCCTTTTCTGGTGTAAATAGTGTAAATAAACTTCTTTTGTTCATCTTTCACTGTCTGTGCCTGGATGGATTGTCTTGCTCTCCGGAGGTCATAAGTATTCCGGTTATTAAAGTCACTGTGCCTTCTGTGTCACCCCTGGTCTGGAGAGTCACCCTGGCGGATACTGATTGTTTTACCACTACTTATTAAATTCCAGTAACCTGGTGTTTAACTCACTAATTTACTTTTTTGTTGGTGGTGGGGCTTGAACTCTGGCCTTGGGTGCTGTCCCTGGGCTCTTCAGCTCAAGGCTAGTGCTCTACCACCACTTGAGCTACAGCACCATTTCTGGTTTTCTGGTGGTTTACTGGAGATGAGTCTCACAGACTTTCCTGCCAGGGCTAGCTTTGAACTGTGATCTTTAGATGTCAGCTTCCTGAATAGCTAGGATTACAGGTGTGAGCCACAGGTGCCTGGCCTTACTAATTTACTGAAGCCGTTATGTTTGGAATTTTTCCTTGAGTTTTTGTTTTCTACAGGGAGATACTGCCTTTCAAGTTTGGCCCTATTTTTTTTTTTGGGGGGGGGGGGTCCGGATATGGGGCCTGAACTCTGGGTATGGGCGCTGTCTCTCAGCTCTTCAGCTCAAGGCTAGTGCTCTACCACTCGAGCCACAGCGCCACTTCTGGCTTTTTTCTTTTCTGCTTATGTGGTGCTGAGGAATTGAACCCAGGGCCTCAGGCATGCAAGGCAAGCGCTCTACCACTGAGCCACCTTCTCAGCCCCCGACCCTATTCTTAATGAGCAAGAATTTTGTTCTGTTTCTAATTTCACATTTTATATTCTTTTGGGAGGGAATCATCACATCTACAGCCCAACCGTTTGTATAGTTGTGCTTGCAGTTGAACACCTACTCTCTTATACTAATCAAGTGCTTTATCATTGGATGGCACTCCACTTCCAGGCTTCTGGTGGTTATTTGGAGTCTCACGGATTTCCCCGCCCCGGCTGTTTTTGAACCGCCATCCTCTGAGCTCAGCCTCCAGAGTAGCTGGGATTTCAGGCATGGGCCACCAGTGCCCAGCGGCAGTTATCATTTTTATGTATAACAACGTTCCAGACGCCCTGCTCCACGCTTGCTTTCTCGCTGGTGGAATCCTGCTCAGTCTACTTCACAAATCCTCATTTCCTTGTAAAATTTGGCCGGAAGCAGGTTTCTTACCGTTGGCGGGACACAGACTATTCCTTGTATGGAATGTTTAAGAATCCAAGATGGCGGCCCCCAGGAGGAAGACCTGTGGCGGCCGCCATGTCAACCACCATGGAAACTGGAACCTTCGCAAAGGCTCGGTGGAGTTGCCACAGCAGCCGAGAGCGTGCGCAGTTCAAACAAGCTCCACCCTCTCCAAGGGGACGGTTCAGAAGTCGCACCGGAAGTGACCTTCCAGAGCCGTTTGCAGCTACCCTTTGCAGCACGTCTGCGGTTTAATGATGAGAATTCTTGGATGACTTCGGTTGGTGGCGATGAGAGCTTCTGCAACGTCAGTACTGTGTGGGGATATAGAACGAGTGCCGGACTTGAGGCTCAGCGATGGGCGGCGGCCGTCGATGGTTGTCATTGACGAGGTTCTCTTCTGGCTCCAGGATCTTTGAGATGAGACACTGATTTGGGGGTCAGTATGGGGTGTGTGTCTGTGATCTGTTCGTTTTCTAACCTTACTTGAAAGTTCAGTAGTTTTTAGCCGCCTGTAGCGTTAACGATTCTCTGCCTTGGGTGTGTAGCATTTTCTTTGTTGCTGAAATGTGACTTTCATTTTTAAAAGTTTTTTTTTTTCTTTGAGTCAAGAGTTATTTCGAAGTGCTTTTTCTGTTTCAAATATGTCTGGATAAAATTTTGAGTTAAAAAGCTTTATGGCTTATGTCCTGGTCGCTTCCGTCACGTCTGTTACATAGAAAGTGTGTCCTATAACGAAACCAATTGTATTGCTCTCTCTCTACACACGCACACACACACATCTCCTTAGTAGTTTTGTTTAATTATAAGATTACATTAGATAAACTCACTGGAGAGATGTTTTTCTATCTTTTACTTTTTTTATTTTTTGGCAGTCGTGGGCTTGAATTTAGGGCCAGAGATGTCCCTGAGCTTTTTAGGCTTTGAAATGCGATCCTCGGTTCTCAGCCTCCCTAGTAGCTAGGATTATATATGTGAGCCACCAGTGCCCAGCAGCTCCATCTGTCCTTTCTTCTGCTTTCTGTCTTATATATTTGAAAGTATGTTTGGAACACCTGTGTATTTTATTTATTTTGTCAGTCATGGGGCTTGAACTCCAGGGGCCTGTGCATTGCCCCTGAGCTCTTTGATCAAGGCTAGTGCTTTACCACTTTGAGCCACAGCGCCACTTCTGATTTTCTGGTGGTTAATTGGAGATAAAAGTCTCACACTTTCCTACCCAGGTTGTTTGAACTGTGATTCTCAGATCTTAGCCTCCTGAGTAGCTAGGATTCCAGTCATCCAGCCACAATATTTTTAAAAATAATATATATGATTAAATAGCTCAGAGGATATGATAGCAAATCAAGCTTTTATCATTAAAAAAAAAACCCACACAATTTTCCCAAATGCCTTCCACCATTTAGTTAGTATTGCTTTTTAAAGTTTTTAATTCTGGGGGAAAATTACATTTACTTGCTATAAAGGTATAATTGTCATTTAAGTTTGCTTGTTTTATGCATCAATCTCTCCGCTCTTTGTTGGTACCTATACACACACTGGGGTTTTTGTTTGTTTTTTAATTGTGTCAATCCTGCAGCTTCAGCTCAGAGCCTTGGTGCTGTCCCTGAATTCTTTTGTTCAGAGGTAGCACTTTACCACTTGAGCAACAGTTCCACTTCCAACTTCTTGGTGGTTAAATGGAGATGAATCTCATGGACTTGCCTAGGCTGACTTGGACTGAGTCCTCAAATCTCAGCCTCCTAGTAGCTAGGATTATGGTGTGAGCCACTGATGCCCAGCAAAAGAATGTATTTTTTTGAGGGGTCCGGTCGTGGGTCCTGAACTCTGGGCCTGGGCGCTGTCCCTCAGCTCTTCAGCTCAAGGCTAGCACTCTACCACTTGAGCCACAGCGCCACTTCCGGCTTTTTTTGCTTATGTGGTGCTGAGGAATTGAACCCAGGGCCTCATGCATACAAGGCAAGCACTCTACCACTGAGCCACCTTCCCAGCCCCCAAAAGAATGTATTTTTAAATGTTTGTAATTCCTCTGAAATTTTCCTCCTAGAATTTGTCTACTGAATACTATGTGGTGGTGGGTCCAGTATCATCACCCTTTGGGCAACACATGCCTTGTACATACTTGGACTTATTTACACATTGTCATAGCTATGGCTCAATATTGTCTCATATGTTTATTGTTTTACTTGTTTTAGTATTTGATAATGGATGGTAATTGCTAATGGAAAGTTGCATGCTTTTGTGTGCCAAGGAGGTGATGGCTACTTTATAAGCATGTCATTCAATTTTCATATCTGATAGACGGCATTTTCAGCAGGGCATGGTGGAACACATCTGTAGTCCCAAAAGTGAGAGGTAGTCAGGAGAATTACAAGTTTGTGACCAGTTTAGGCTACATAGTAAGATCCTGTCCTACAAAACAAAACCCACAAGAAACAAAAAGACATTTTATCCTCATGTTTTGAAACTAAAACTAAGGTAATTTTATATTTTTATAGTTTTAAATCAGAAGAAACATAATGCAAATATGCCATAATGTTACTTCAGGTCTCATGCTTTCCCTCGTATTTCACCATCATTACTGCCTGTCACAATATTTAATCTCCAAAGCATTGCTGCCTTAGTGTAGTCCCAGAAGTAACATTTTCAGCATAATTTGGATACTAGTTTGAAGTGAAAATTCTTGAGCCCTACCTAAGGCAGCCTAAGTCAGAAATTATGAGGGTGAAGTTGAGAATATTTAAACTGTGTGAACATGCCTATGAGATGATTTGACTGTATACAAGATATTTGTTTGTTTTTGTCAGTCATGGGCTTGAACTCTGGTCCTACACGCTGTCCCAGTTCAAGGTGAGTGCTCTACCATTTGAACCATAGCGCCACTTCTGGTTTTCTGGTAGTTAGAGATGAGTCTCACGGATTTTCCTGCCTGGGTTGGCTTTGAACCATGATCCTCAGATCTCAACCTCCTGAGTAGCTAGGATTACAGGTGTAAGCCACCAGTAAGCAGCAAATGTGTTCAAGTGTGAGACACATTGCTTTGCAGTTTGTAGCTCAGGGACCATACCCATATACCCAGGAGTGTGTAAGTGGTGGATATTGAGTGATGACTGTTAGGCTTGTTCTTTCCAGGTTTCTTGGTATCTCTGGGAGTCTTCTGAACCATATGTCCTGCCAGAATCCAGGCCAACCTAAATTCATGGAGGACCACTAAGCTTTAATCGCCTTAAGAGAAAAAGGGCTGAAAACCCTGTGACTATGCCAAGTAATAAAACTTCATCCCAGAAACCTACAATCCTTGTTCCAGAGGATTATGGGAGCTCATGTGAGGTAAGAAGGAGAAATCTTGGGCTTAGTGATTCCTCCCAGATAGGGATATCTTTAATCTGTTAGGGGAGCACAGGAAGCAGCCATATTCTTTAGCCTGCTGCTTTGGGTACCAAATTATAGATAAAAGGTAGCATCTAAATGTATTCTTGGCTAAGAATGTGGCTTAGTGGTAGAGTGCTTTCCTAGCATGCATGAAGCCCTGGGTTCGATTTCTCAGTACCACAAACATAGAAAAAGCTGGAAGTGGCGCTGTGGCTCAAATGGTACAGTGCTAGTCTTCAGCAAAAAAGAAGCTCAGGGAGAGAGCCCAGATCTAGAGTTCAAGCTCAGGACAGAAAAAAAAAAAAAATCAAAGGTATTTACTTACTTCATGTATAGATGAAAATAAGCTGATATGGTGGCATTCTCATAGGGTCCTAGAACTTCAGAGGTTGGGTGAGATCCTACCTCAAAAAAAAAAAAAAAAAAAAAGAGAGAGAGAAGAGAGTAGATCAAAACATTATCCTAACCAGGTGCTGATGGCTTATGCTTATAATCTTAGGATCTAAGGATTACAGTTTGAAGTCAGCCTAAACAGAAAAGTCCAAGAGAGTCTTATCTCCAGTTAATCAGCAAAAGGCCAGAGGTGGAGGTGTGGTGCAAGTGTTAGCCTTGAGTAAACAACAAAAAACACAAGATCCTAAGTTCACATACACACACACACACAAAGTGCTAGCCTTGAGTAAACACAAAAAACACAAGATCCTAAGTTCACACACACACACACACACACACACTCCTGATACTTTGCCCAGGAAAATATGTATCAGAGCTAGGTCTCTGTGACTCACACATACACACACACACACACACACACACACACACACACACATATACACACACACACACACTCCTGATACTTTGTCCAGGAAAATATGTATCAGAGCTAGGTCTCTGTGACGCGCGCACACACACACACACACACACACACACACACACACACACACACTCCTGATACTTTGTCCAGGAAAATATGTATCAGAGCTAGGTCTCTGTGACGCGCGCACACACACACACACACACACACACACACACACACACACACACACTCCTGATACTTTGCCCAGGAAAATATGTATCAGAGCTAGGTCTCTGTGACTCACACATACACACACACACACACACACACACACACACATATACACACACACACACACTCCTGATACTTTGTCCAGGAAAATATGTATCAGAGCTAGGTCTCTGTGACGCGCGCACACACACACACACACACACACACACACTCCTGATACTTTGTCCAGGAAAATATGTATCAGAGCTAGGTCTCTGTGACTCAAGCCTATAATCCTAGCTACTCAGGAGGGTGAGATATGAGGATTGTGGTTTGAAGCCAGCCTGGGCAGGAAAATCTGTAAAGACTCTAATCTCCAATAAACTACTCATAAAGCCTGAAGTGGCACTGTGGCTCAAAATGGTAGATCATTAGCCTTGAGCAAAAAGAAGTTTAGGGACAATTCTTAGGCCCTTAGTTCAAGCCCCAGGACTGGCAAAACAAAAAAACAAAGAAACAAAAAAGGACCAGCAAAAACAAAACACACACACATTTTTTGCCCAGTCCTGGGACTTGAACTCAGGGCCTGGGCACTGTCCCTGAGCTGCTTTTTGCTCAAGGCTAGCACTCTACTACTTGAGCCACAGTGCCATTTCCAGCCTTTTCTGTTTATATGGTACTGAGGAATCAAACCCAGGGCTTCAAGCATGCTAGGCAAGCACTCTACCACTAAGCCACATTCCTAGCCCCAAGACTTATTATTTTTAAGGAAACAATGTATTGAGAGTTTTAACCTGGCATGGTGATGCACACCTCTATTAGCTATGTAGAAGCAGAGGGGAGGATCACAATTTGAGGCCAGTCTAGGCAAGTCAGAAAGGCCATATGTCACAAATAAGCTTGTGTGGTGGCCCACATACGTATTCCTAGCTACTCAGGAGGCAGTTAGAAGAATCATGGTTGGAGTTCTTCCAGGCTTTAGAAAGCTCAAGACCAGGCTCATGCTTGTAATCCTAGCTACTCAAGAGGTTGAGATCTGAGGATCTCGGTTCAAAGCCAGACCAGGCAGGAAAGACCAAGAGACTCTTTTTTTTTTGGGGGGTCCAGTCGTGGGGCCTGAACTCTGGGCCTGGGCGCTGTCCCTCAGCTCTTCAGCTCAAGGCTAGCACTCTACCATTTGAGCCACAGCACCACTTTCGGCTTTTTTCTTTTTGCTTATGTGGTGCTGAGGAATCAAACCCAGGGCCTCAGGCATGCAAGGCAAGCGCTCTACCACTGAGCCACCTTCCCAGTCCACCAAGAGACTCTTATCTTCAATTAACCACCAGAAAACTGGACGTAACACTGTGGCTTAAGTGGTAGAGTGCTTGCTTTGAGCTGAAGAGCTCAGGGACAGTGCTCAGGTCCAGAGCTCAAGATTTACAACCAACCAAAAAAAAAACAAAAAACAAAAAAACTTCTACTAAATGAGATAGGGCATGAAGTAGACTGCTTGCTTAGCAAATAGGAAGACCTTTATGTAATCCTCAATACTAAGAGAAGGAAAAAGGAGAAAAATACACAAAATAAAAATCATTTATCTCATGCAAAATAATTTCCTTTTAGAGACTGCACCTTGCTGTGTCACCTAGGCTGTCATCAAGCCCCAGGCTGGAGGCAAGCAATCTTTCTACCTTAGTCACCCTAGTAGATGGAATATAGACCTGTGTCATCACAGGTGGCTCATGTAAATAAGTTTAGAATTGCAGGATAGATGTCTAGACACAATAGTGGCCTGCCCACTGCTGCCCACATGGATGCTGCACTATACCATCTTCGTTTGTTTTTTTTTTTTTGGTCGGTCGTGGTGCTTGAACTCTGGGCCTGGGCGCTGTCCCTCAACTCTTCAGCTCAAGGCTAGCACTCTACCACTTGAACCACAGCATCACTTCTGGCTTTTTCTGCTTATGTGGTGCTGAGGAATTGAACCCAGGGCCTCATGCATGCAAGGCAAGCACTCTACCATTGAGCCACCTTCCCAGCCCCTACACCATCTTGTTGAGTGTATCATACCACAGTGGTGAGGAGGGGTACCTTTTCATCTCAAGAACCTTTTTGGCACTTAACTACCATCTCTGCCTGGTGGCCCCAGAACCAACACACACACACAAAGTAGTATGTCAGGGTCCTTGCTTGGGGAGAGCAGAGATGTGTGGACTCTAGGTGACTCTGTTAGCTGAGCTTCTCAGCTTCCCACCATAGGACTGCAGTCTCCCCAGCATTAAGAACAGGTATGCAATATGATGATGGTTGCTAAAGTCTTCTCAGTTATCTTCTCTCTTGAGGGACAAATCTCTCCTAGTTTTGAGCTGCTCACAGTGAGGCTTCGCTTTCTCTGTTATCTACAAGTTGTTTGTTGTTTTGACTGTTTTTGCTGGTGGGTATTAGTTTCTTTTCAGCCATCTTGTTAATACTATGCTCCAGGGGTGAGCCTTTTTTTTTTTTTGGCCATCCTGCGGCTTGAACTCAGGGTCTAGACACTGTCCCTGAGCTTCTTTTGCTCATGGCTAGCGCTCTACCACTTGAGCCACAGTGCCACTTCCAGCTTTTTGTTTATGTGGTACTGAGAAATGGAATTCAGGACTTCATACATGCTAGGCAAGCACTCTCCCTCTAAGCCACATTCCCAGTCCTAGGGTAAGCTTTTTTTTTTTTTTTTTTTGGCCAGTCCTGCCTGGGGCTTGAACTCTGGGCCCAGGCACTGTCCTTGAGCTTCTTTTGCTAAGATTAGCACTCTACCACTTGAGCCAAGGCTCCACTTCTGGCTTTTTCTGTTTATGTGGAACTGAGGAATCAAACCCTGGTCATCGTACATGGTAGGCGAGCACTCTACCACTAAGCCATGTTCCCAGCAGGTAAGCTTTTAAAAGAAGAGTTGGGCCAGGCATCAGTGGCTCACACCTATCATTCTAGCTACTCAGGAGGCTGAGATCTGAGGATTGAGGTTCAAAGCCAGCCTGGGCAGGAAAGTCCAATTAATCACCAAAAAGCCAGAGTGACCCAGAAAATAAAAATAAAAACAAAAGAGTTAAATCAAAGACAATAATAAAACCAGTTTTTTGTATTCCTTACTGTTGTTTTTTCTATTCTCCCAAAGCTATATTCAATAGTAATTTGCCCTTCCAGGGATCTGTGTCCTTAAGGGATGTGACTATAGATTTCAGCAGAGAGGAATGGCAGCACCTAGAGCCTGCTCAGAGGAACCTCTACCGGGATGTGATGCAGGAGACCTACAGCCACCTGCTTTCCGTGGGTAAGCACTGCTTTGCTGGTATCTGAAAGGAGGCCTCCATGTGTTTCCATTCTCAATTGATTGAGTGCATGAGACATCTTAAACTTGTAATGGTTTTGTCCTTCATTTTTTTTTTTTTTTTAGCCATTCCTGGGGCTTGAACTCAGGGCCTGGGCACTGTCCCTCAGCTGTTTTTGCTCAAGGCTAGCACTCTACCACTTGAGCTACAGAGCCACTGCTAGCTTTTTCAGTTTATGTGGTACTGAGGAGTTGAACCCAGGGCTTCATGCATGCTAGGCAAGCACTCTACCATTGAGCTATATTCCCAGCCCCCGTCGATTCTTGATTGTCCAGGATTCTTTATCTCCTTGGGGCACTCTTAATGTCGCTTGGTTCATAGAGAGATATGTTACTTTTAAAAAAAATTAAGGGGCTGAGAAGGTGGCTCAGTGGTAGAGCACTCGCCTTGCATGCTCAAGGTCCTGGGTTCGATTCCTCAGCACCACATAAGAAAAAAAAAAAAGCCAGAAGTGGCACTGTGGCTCAAGTGGTAGAGTGCTAGCCTTGAGCTGAAGAGCTGAGGGACAGCGCCCAGGTCCAGAGTTCAGGCCCCATGACCAGACCCAAAATAAATAAATAAATAAATAAAAAATTAAGCAGGGGCTGGGAAGGTGGCTCAGTGGTAGAGTGCTTGCCTTGTATGCATGAGGCCCTGGGTTCGATTCCTCAGCACCACATAAGCAGAAAAAGCTGGAAGTGGCGCTTTGGCTCAAGTGGTAGGGCACTAGCCTTGAGCTGAAGAGCTGAGGGACAGCGCCCAGGCCCAGAGTTCAGGCCCCATGACCAAAAAAAAAAAAAAAAATTAAGCACCAAGGCATTATTGCTTGGGATCTGCAACATGATTAGCTGGACCTAGTCCTTTATCATTTCCTGTGAACAGGGTACCAAGTTCCTGAGCCAGAGGTTTTCATGGTGGACCAAAGAAAGGAGCCGAGGGCATTGCAGGGTGAGAGCCCACATCAGAGTTGCCCAGGTGAGTGAAATGCAGGTAGATGAAAGATAAGGAAGCAAAATGAGAAGATATCTCAGCTATCTTGAGAAAACTTGGTACCTTTGAAATGATGTTAAAATGCCTGTTCTGGCTGGGCACTGATGACTTGTGCCTGGGGATCGTGGTTTAAGACCAGTCTAGCCCGGAAAGTCAGTGAGACTTTTATCTCCAATAAACTACTCAGAAAAAGGGGGATGTGAAGCTATGGCTCATTTGGGAGAGCACTAACCATGAGCACAAAAAGGCTTAGGAACAGAGCCCAGGCCCTGAGAATCCAAGCCTCATGACTGGCAAAAAACCCAAATACCTCTTCTTGCTGGGCCCTGGTAGCTCATCCCTGTAATTCTACTAAGGAGGCTGAGAGCTGAGAATCACAGTTCAAAGCCAGGCAGGACAGGAAAGTCTGTAAGACTCTTCTCCAAGTAACCACCAGAAAACTGGAAGTGGCACTGTAGTTCAAAATGATAGTGCACTAACCTTCAAGCACCACAACTGATCAAAATAAATAAATAAAGCCTCTCCTAAAATGTCCTAATTTTTTTTCCTTGGGCACTTTTGATAATGGGTTCTCAGATATAAAAATGTCTTTTAGGAAGTGGAGCTCTGGCTCAAAGAAATGCCTTCTGTTTGGAAGACCTTGACCTTTCTGTCTTCTTCCTTGGCTTTTTGGATCCTAGAACTTATGTCATTCTGCCTCATGAAAGAACATCCTGTTGTAGTCTACTCTTTTTTTTGCCAGTCCTGGGCTTGAACTTAGGGCCTGGGCACTGTTCCTAAGCTTCTTTTGCTCAAGGCTAGCACTCTACTATTTGAGCCACTGTACCACTTCTGGCTTTTTCTGTGTATGTGGTACTGAGGAATCGAACCCAGGGTTTCATGCATACTAGGCAAGCACTCTACCACTAAGCCATATTTCCAGCCCAAGTGATGTTTTCTTGCATTTCATTCTAGAATTGCAGCAGAGTGGTGACCAGACAGACAGCTGCCAGCAAATGGAAAATAAAACATTAAGAGACATTGTTTTAATCAAGAACATACCATCTACAAAGTGTTATTATGAAGATAAGGATATTAGAAAAGTAATTCCACTTAGCCCAAATGGTGGTATTCCTCCTCCCCAAAGACCCCACCAGCAAGATTCATTTGGGAATGACCTGAAACATATTCTAGACTGTCAAAGTTATAATAGAAATAATGCATCAAAGAGCACTAAAAAGATGGATGGACATGGTAAAATATCTTCCTTTACTATGTATGAGTGTCCTATAACAAGAGAAAGACTATGGGACCATAATCAATGTAGGAAAGTCCTCAGTTATAAACAAGTACCCAGTCAATATCAGAAAATTCATACGGTGGAGAAATCCTTTGATTATGCCGAATTTGGAAAGATCTTCACCCACAAGTCACAGCTCAATGTACATATAAAAGCCAATATAGGAGAAAAACTCTATGTATGTATTGAATGTGGGAAGGCGTTTGTCCAAAAGCTAGAATTCATTACACATCAAAAGAACCATACTAGAGAGAAGCCCTATAAATGCAATAATTGTGGAAAGTCTTTTTTCCAAGTATCTTCTCTTTTCAGACATCAGAGAATTCACACTGGAGAAAAACTCTATGAATGCAGGGAGTGTGGGAAAGGCTTCTCTTATCACTCCGATCTCAGTATACATCAGAAAATTCATACTGGAGAGAGACACCATGTATGCAGCGACTGTGGCAAGGCATTCACACAAAAGTCCACACTCAAGATGCACCAGAAGATCCACACGGGTGAGAGATCCTACATATGTATTGAATGTGGACAGGCCTTCATCCAGAAGACACACTTGGTTGCACACCGGAGAATTCATACTGGAGAAAAGCCATACCAATGTAGTCACTGTGGGAAAGCCTTCGTTTCCAAGTCACAGCTCCAGGTACATCAACGGATTCACACAAGGGGGAAACCTTATATATGCACGGAATATGGGAAGGTCCTCAACAATACTTCAAACCTCACTCCACCGAAGAAAGTTCCAATGAGAGAGAAGTCTTCCATCTGTACTGACTGTGGGAAGGCCTTTACCTACAGGTCTGAGTTAATTATTCATCAGAGAATTCACACTGGAGAAAAACCTTATGCATGTGGTGAGTGTGGAAAGGCCTTCACTCAGAAGTCAGCACTCACAGTGCATCAGAGGATACACACAGGAGAAAAATCCTATGTGTGCATGAAGTGTGGGTTAGCCTTCATCCAGAAGGCACATTTGATTGCACATCAGGTAATTCATACTGGACAGAAACCTTATAACTGTGGCCAGTGTGGGAAATTCTTTACTTCCAGGTCACAGCTGCATGTGCATAAACGAATTCATACAGGAGAAAAACCCTATATATGTAATATGTGTGGGAAGGCATTTACCAACAGGTCAAATCTCATCACTCACCAGAAAACTCACACAGGAGAAAAGTCCTATATATGTTCTAAATGTGGAAAAGCCTTCACTCAGAGGTCAGATTTGATTACACATCAGAGAATTCATACCGGAGAGAAACCATATATATGCAATACCTGTGGGAAAGCCTTCACCCAGAAATCACACCTCAATATACACCAGAAAATTCATACTGGAGAGAGACAATATGAATGCCGTGAATGTGGGAAAGCCTTCAACCAGAAATCAATACTCATTGTGCATCAGAAAATCCACACAGGAGAGAAACCTTACGTATGCACAGAATGTGGGAGAGCTTTCATCCGCAAGTCAAACTTCATTACCCATCAAAGAATCCATACTGGAGAGAAACCCTACGAATGCAGTAACTGTGGGAAATCCTTTACCTCCAAGTCTCAGCTCTTAGTACATCAGCCAGTTCACACAGGTGAGAAGCCCTATGTGTGTACTGAGTGTGGGAAGGCCTTTAGTGGCAGGTCAAACCTCAGTAAGCACCAAAAAATCCATACTGGAGAGAAGCCTTACATCTGTTCTGAGTGTGGGAAGACGTTCAAACAGAAGTCAGAGTTGATTACACATCACAGAATTCACACTGGCGAGAAACCTTATGAATGCACTGACTGCAGGAAATCTTTCACCAAGAAATCCCAGCTCCAAGTGCATCAGCGAATTCACACAGGGGAGAAGCCTTATGTGTGTGCTGAGTGTGGGAAGGCCTTTACTGACAGGTCAAATTTAAATAAACATCAAACCAAACACACCAGAGATAAGCCATATAAGTGTGCAGTCTGCGGGAAAGGCTTTGTTCAGAAATCAGTGCTCAGAGTACATCAGAGTATTCATACTTAAAAGCAACTGTGAGAAAATGCTCACTGAGGATATGTTTTATTTGGCTTTATTGCATGGATAGGACATAGTATGTGTATTATTGTAAGTAGAAATGCCCTCATACATATCACTGCTCAAAAGGACCTCTGAGAAGGCCCCCAATGGTGGGAGTAGTTGAGCTTCCTACACTGTCATGTTATGAAATTGACAAATCCATGACGAAAGGATACAGCCCATTTGACACATCTATAAGAAGCTTTCTCTGAAAAAGATGCAATGGAATGATGTTACCAAAGTATTAATAGGAAAGATGATAAGTCATATTAGAATTGTCAGTGTAAATGGATCAGTGCCAACAAACTGGTAAAAGCATAAAATTTTTTATTGTGAAAACACTGTACAGAGGGGTTACAATTACATGGGCAAGATAATGAGTACATTTCTTATCAAGCATTGTAGCCTTCTCCTTTGTTTCCCCTTCCCATCCTCCCCCCAGCATAAAATTTCTATAGGAGTAGTAGACCGGTCCTTGGTGTGTAAGTTGGTTGTTGCAGAATAATTGTATAACAGGGTCATGTGTTTTCTATAGTAGGATCTAAGACATTTGTGTATGTCAAATCCCCAATTGAATATTAAAATCAAGAAAGAAGCCGAGCGCCAGTGGCTCATGACTGTAATCCTAGCTGAGGCTGAGATCTGAGGATTGTGGTTCAAAGCCAGCCCGGGCAGGAAAGTCTGTGAGACTCTTCAATAAACCAGCAAAAAATTGGAAGAGGCGCAGTGGCTTAAGTGGTAAGAGTGCTCACCTTGAGCTGAAGAGCTGAGCTCAGGGAGAGTGCCCAGGCCCAGTGTTCAAGCCCCACAACTGACAGAAAAAGATACAATAAAAGATATACCTCCTAAAAGATATACAAACCTGAGTATATGTGGACTCCTCACTGAAATCTATCATCAGGCTTTATAACTTGTTTCAGTAGCCCTCAAGAGTCTTTGAATCTCACAAGCCATTGGCACATTGTCTTTTGAACTCCCATTTCCTTTAGGAAAGCTTGAAGTAATTTTTCTACCATTTTTATCAAATGATCCATCACAGTTCTTCACACCTTTGCCACTGTGTGTGTGTGTGTGTGTGTCTGTGTCTGTGTGTCTGTGCGTGTGTGCATGCTGGGCCTGGGGTTAAAACTCAGGGTTTGGGTGTTGTTCCTGAGCTATTTTGCTCAAGGCTAGCATTCTACCACCTGAGCTACAGCTCCACTCTCCACTTATTTATTTTTGGAAGTTAATTAGAGACAAGAGTCTCATGGACTTTCCTTCCTAGGCTGGCTCTGAATCTCAGATCTCAACCTCCTGAGTAGCTAGGATTACAGGTATGAGTCACCAGTGCCTGGCTGCCTTTGTGACTTTTTATTTGCCAGTCCTCGGGCTTGAACTCAGGCACTGTCCCTGAGTTTCTTTTGCTCAAAGCTTGTGCTCTACCGCTTGAGCTACAGCCCCACTTTCAGCTTTTTCTGTTTATGTGGTATTGAAGAATCAAACCTGAGGCTTCATGTATGCTAGGCAAGCACTCTACCACTGAACCACATTCCCAGCCCCATCCTTTTGTGACTTCTTTTTTGGCTAGTCCTGGGCTTGAACTCAGGGCCTGTGCACTGTCCCTGAACTGCTTTTGCTCAAGGCTAGTGCTCTACAAGCACAGTGTCCTTTCTGGCTTTTTCTGTGTATGCGGAACTGAGGAATCAAACCCAAGGCTTCATACATGCAAGGCAAGTACTCTACCACTAAGCCACATTCCTAGACCCTTTGTGACGTTTAAAGAACAAATCCATAACTTTGAACCAAAGAACTTACGTTCACTGTCAGCTTTCTGTCCACCTTCCTGTCATGCCCTACTCTACAAGGATTCTTCAATGGTCCTCAAATACATATGACATTGGCATTTGCAGTATATCTACAAAGAGCCCAGCACTTCACTGTATCTGGGGAGTTGCTTGATCTATTTCTTCCAATGATGCCTCCTCACTGTCCTCTCCCTAATATTCCAGCTTGTTTCCCTTCTTTTACCCTACATCCATTTAGTCATGATCTCTGAAGTGAAACAACTATTGTTTTTTAAAAAGAAAATGAAGAATAGGAAACCCCACTTGGATTTGCTGGCATAACTAAATTCCTACACCTAGCAGGTGAATTATTCTTACTCATAAAGGAATAAGAATCAGACTTTTTCCATAGTCATTTACATGAATATCTCCATTATGAGACATTAGTTGAGTAAAGTATGAGTAATGGTTGTTTTACCATTAAAACAAAACAACAACAACAACAAAAACCCAAGTGCCAGTGACTTACCCCTGTAATCCTAGCTACAGAGGAAGCTGGCATCTGAAGATCATGGTTTGAAGCCAACCCAGACAGGAAAGTACATGAGATTCAACACCAATTAACCAGGAAAAAGGAGTGTGGAGGTGTGGCTCAAGTGGTTAAGTGCCAGCCTTGAGTTTAAAAGTAAAGGATAGGGCTGGGAAGGTGGCTCAGTGGTAGAGTGCTTGCCTCGCATGCATGAGGCCCTGGGTTCGATTCCTCAGCACCACATAAGCAGAAAAAAAAAAGCCGGAAGTGGCGCTGTGGCTCAAGTGGTAGAGCGCTAGCCTTGAGCTGAAGAACTGAGGGACAGCACCCAGGCCCAGAGTTCAGGCCCCACGACCGGATTATTAAAAAAATAAATAAATAAAATAAAAGTAAAGGATAGCCAGCACTAAGGCCCTGAATTCAAACCCCAGTACCAGCAAATATACACACAACCAATGAAGTTTGAGAACAATGAAGTTAGGTAATATTAACTAAGCATTTAGTCTTATGTTAAGCACAATTATGGAATGGACACCACTCATTCTGAAGTACTCTAATCATGCCCAGATAACCATATGAATTCCATATATGCACATCATAAATCTGGGAGAATATGCTGGGTGACACCAAGGAGGAACTAAAATAGTAGTTTGGTAAAGATAATTGTATACTTCTGTAGCCAATAAATTAGTATATTTTACAGACTATATGTTTACAGACAATGTTAAAGTCTGGTTAGAGTATAGCATGATCACATTTTGTTCTAAAAATATTAAGAATTGTACTACAGTACATGAGGGTAAGGATAAGATGGTGAAGAATGATGGAAGGGGTGACATTAATGTAAAGGTATTGTACTCATAATCAGACTTCTGGAACTGAAATCCCCTTTACCAGTACTTACTAATAATAAAAAATTAAAAAGAAATAGTAAGATATAGTCTTAAGTGGTTTATTCCAAGTTTGTTAGTGGTTATGATGGTTAAGATTATTGTCATGTAGGCTGGGCACTGGTGGCTCATGCCTGTAATACTAGCTACTCAGGAGGCTGAGATCTGAGGATCATGGTTTGAAGCCATCCTGAATAGTAAAGTCCCTGGGAGACTCTTATCCCTAATTAACCACTCAAAAGTGGGAAGTGGTGCTGTGGTTTTGAGCACAGAGAGGCTCAGGGATATTGCCTAGTCCCTGAGTTCTGGCCCAAAACTGGCACACACACACACACACACACACACACAAAAAGAATTACAAAAAAGAAACAGGGAAGAGAAAAAGGGAGAAATTAGACTTTCCATAAAATAATTTTGAGGGGCCTGGGAAGGTGGCTCAGTGGTAGAGTGCTTACCTTGCATGCATGAAGCCCTGGGTTTGATTCCTCTGCACCACACAAGCAGAAAAAGCCAGAAATGGCACCGTGGCCCAAGTGGTAGAGCACTAAACTTGAGCTGAAGAGCTGAGGAACAGTGCCCAGGCCCAGAGTTCAGGCCCCACAACCAACAAAAAATAATAAATTTTGAGGTGGCTCTGTAATTCTGTATAATATACACCAAGTGAAAAAAATAAGTAGTATGGTTAAGCAAAATAGTTTTCAATAAAATCAAGGGGAAATAGAATATATTAAAAATACTTATTAAGTATGAATTTTATGAAATAAAGGAATTATATATATATATATGTGTGTGTGTGTGTGTGTGTGTGTATCCTCAAATATGTATTTTTTTGTCGTTCGTGGGGCTTGAACTCTGGGCCTGGGTGCTGTCCCTCAGCTCTTCAGCTAGCGCTGAAGGCTAGCGCTCTACCACTGGAGCCATAGCACCACTTCCGGCTTATTTTTTCTGCTTATGTGGTGCTGAGGAATCGAACCCAGGGCTTCATGCGTGCAAGGCAAGTGCTCTACCACTGAGCCACCTTCCCAGCCCAGGACTTTTCTTATGTTGCTGAAACTGAGCCCCATTCAAGAGCATTACCCCCTCCCTCAAATTCATTAAGTTTTTACCAACATGTGTTTTCTCTTGCCAATTAAAAGCTGAGCCACGCCCAAGGACTTTCCACATGCAAGCCTGGCCCCGGTGGCTCACGCCTGTCTTCCTACTCAGGAGGCTGAGATCTGAGGATCACAGTTCAAAGCCAGCCCGGGCAGGAAAGTCCATGAAACTCTTATCTCCAATAAACCACTAGAAAACCAGAAGTGGTGCTGTGGCTCAAGCGGTAGAGCGCTTGCCTTGAGCTGAAGAGCTGAGGGACAGTGCCCAGGCCCAGAGTTCAGGCCCCACAACCAACAAAAAAAAAAGGACTTTCCACATTTTACATTCATAGGGCTTTTCACCAGTATGAATTAGCTGGTGCTGAATCAGTTTTGAATTGCTTCCAAAGGCTTTCCCACACTCCTTATAAGGCTTTTACCCAGCATGAATTCATTGATGTTGAGCAAGGTCAGAAGCACTACTAAAGATCTTCCCACACACCTGACCATCAAAGGGTGTCTACTGTGTGCATTCTTTGATGCTGGATAAGTTTTGAACCACTTCTAAATGCTTTCTCACATTCCTTACACACAAATGGTTTCTCACCTGTGTGAATCCTCTGATGCTGAGATTGGAGCCATTATTAAAAGCCTTCCCATATTCCTTACATACGTTTCTCACCAGTGTGAATTCTTTGATGTCGAGTAAGGGCTGATCCAAAACTAAAGGCCTTTCCACATTCGCTGCATATATAAGGTTTCTTACCTGTATGAATTCTTTGATGCCAAGTAAGGGCTGATCCACTACTAAATGCCATTCCACAGGTCTTACATTCATAGGGCTTCTCACCAGTATGGACTCTCTGATGTTGAGTTAGGTTTGAGCCATTGCCAAAGGCTTTCCCGAAGTCCTTACACTGATAAAGTTTCTCACCTGTGTGAATTCTGATGCCAAGAGCTGATTTGAAACTAAAGGACTTGCCACATTCCTTACACTCGTAAGTCTTTTCTCCACTGTGAGGGATCTGATGTCGAATAAGGCCTGAGCCAAAACTAAAGGCTTTCCCACAGTCTTTACATTCATAGGGCTTCTCACCAGTATGAATTCTCTGATGGTGAGTGAGGTTTGAGCCGCTACCAAAGGCTTTCCCACATTCCTTACATTCGTAAGGCCTCTCACCGGTGTGAATTCTCTGATGGTAAGCAAGGTTCGCACAACTACCAAAGGCCTTGCCACATTCCTTACACTTGTAAGGTTTCTCACCCGTATGAATTCACTGATGGCATATAAGGACTGATGAAAACAAAATCCTTCCCATATTCCTTCATTCAAGGAGTTTCTCATTAGTATGAATTCTCTGATGTTGGGTACTGTAAGTGGGCATGTCTTCAGAAGGAAATATCATTTGACTGAAAAGTCCATCCAGAGATCCGTTTTCTCTCAATCTGGCTTTTACATTTCCAATCACCTCTGAAACTTAGACACTCAATGCTGTGTTTTGTAAAGCTTTCCATTATCTCCAATTAGGAAGTTCTGTCCCATAAGTATCCTTTTCTCAGAAAGAAATTCTTGATCTCAACTTTCATTTACAACCTGAAAGAAAATATAAAAGCAAACATTCACTTTTCCATGTTCTGGGAGAAATAAAACTTTTCTTTATGGATGATGAAAGGCATTGATATAATTATTTTTCATAAAAAGTATTTTTCATATATGTTCCTCAGATATGGGGTAGTTTTGGAAATAGACAAGGAAAACAGAAGGAATGATCAAGTCAGACCGATGGGTAAAAGACATTTTTTTTTTTTTTTTTGATCCAGTCATGGGGCCTGAACTCTGGGCCTAGGCGCTGTCCCTCAGCTCTTCAGCTCAAGACTAGCGCTCTACCACTTGAGCCACTGCGTCACTCCCGGCTTTTTTCTTTTTGCTTATGTGGTGCTGAGGAATCAAACTCAGGGCCTCAAGCATGAAAGGCAAGTGCTCTACCACTGAGCCACCTTCCCAGCCCCGGGTAAAAGAAACATTTAGGAAAAAATATTAATTGAATTATTCCTAAGTAATAGTTTAAATGAAAATTTCCCTGCATATTTTGGGAGCATGATAAGAATACAGATATTCTAGCTTCATCATAACTTTTTTTGTGTGTGTGTAGGTCACGGGGCCTGAACTCTGGGCCTGGGCATTGTCCCTCAGTTCTTCAGCTCAAGGCTAGCGCTCTTACCACTTGAGCCACAGCACCACTTCTGGATTTTTCTTCTGCTTATGTAGTGTTAAGGAATCGAACCCAGGGCCTCATGCATGTGAGGCAAGCACTCTACCATTGAGCCACCTTCTCAGCCCCTTCATCATAATTTTTAATAAGATGCGCCTGGCTGCACTAGCTCTTTTTGCTTTGGGCTTCAATACATTCCAGAACAATATCTGGTAAGGTTTAGAATGCTAAAATGAATCAAGCAATGCTGGGCACTGGTGGCTCATGCCCATAATCCTACCTACTCAGGAGGCTGAGAGCTAAGGATTGCAGTTCAAAGCCAGCCTGGTCAGGAAAGTCTGTGAGACTCTTATCCCTTATTAACTACAAAAAAGCAGGAAATGGAGCTGTGACTTTAGTGGCAGAACACTAATTCTCCTTGTGCAAAAGAAGCTTAAGGACAGTGTCCAGGCCCCAAGTTCAAGCATCAGGCCTTGCACAGAAAAAAACCAGACGAGGGCTGGGAAGGTGGTGCTTGCCTTGCATGCATGAGGCCCTGGGTTCAATTCCTCAGCACCACATAAGTAGAAAAAGCTGGAAGTAGCACTATGGCTCAACTGGTCTCTAGAGCACTAGTCTTGAGCTGAAGAGCTGAGGGACAGTGCCCAGGCCCAGAGTCCAAGCCCCAAGAAGAACAACAACAACAAAAAAAACAGACAGAATAATGAAAAACTAAAATCATATGACCAATTTATAAGAGAAAATAAAAAATGTTCATCTGATGGGACAGTAGGAATTTGGAGTTTCTACTGTTTCCCAAGGAGAAAAGTTTAGGAACCAGGTCACATGATAAACAAGAATTTTCAAGAAAAGAAAAGCAAGTCCTGTCCTAATGAAGATAGAAGGATTTCAGGGGGGAAAAATAAATAATATCACAACTACCTTGCAGTTGCCTTCTGGATGTTCAACTTCCATTCTTTGCAATCCTTAGGAGGCCTCTATCCAAGCAAGGCAAGACTGGAGAAGGAAATAGGAGTCAGTAAACACCAAGCTCTTCTGGGAACCTACTAGTCATTTCAGAGGTCACTATATTGCTCAGTCCCTACCCCTACCATAAACAGAAGGAGGAGGTCAGAGAAGTTGAAGGTATCCTTTTCATTCTGGGCATCAGGCAAAAAGTAGGATCACTGGGACTTGGGGTGTGGTTCTGTCATAACTAGCAACAGTGAGGCCCTGAGTTTAATGCTGACCACACACACACACACACACACACACACACACACACACACACACACACACACGAGCGCACACACATGAGCGCACACACAAAGCAGGATCATTGCAGTTCTTCACAGAATCTATTCTGAACTTAGAGAAGTTTTCTGGAGACATAAAAACAACAATGATGTCTCCTCCACATCCACCACCTTCAATTGGCTGTATGGGCACAGAGCCACACAAACTCGTTTGCACCAGGGGATACAAATATCATGGCACCCTGTGCGAACCCCAAATGCCAAGCTGTAAGACTTGAAAGGACCTGGGAGTTTGGAAGGCCTTCTCCCATCATACTCTCAGAATGCTGAGAGTTTCCTGAAAAGGTCAATTGGTCCTGACAACAGAAATTCAGATTTCTATCCTGGGTGTAGGCTAATTCAACCCCAAACTTTCTGGGAGCTTGGGGATAGACAAACGCCTATGCAAATTGTAAGTAATTTATTGTTTACCTACTTCCTAAGATAAGGAAGTCATTTCACTTGAATATGATTGTATCACATGATGGGTGTTTGTGACTTCAAGAACATTGACACCTCACTTTCTGTACATATGCCCCTGTACCCTACTCAATATACCTTGTAAAAAGGATCTTCAGCACCTGAAGCTGGTGAAAGGCTTCAGGCCCCTGGTACCACAAACCTCAATTCTACGGGTAGATCTCCCTCTGTTACTCCCTTGTTCCCCGTTGCAGTGGGTGGGACAGCACCCAAACATAAACAAATACGCTGCATACTGTAATAACCTTGACGATGAGTGCGCTCAAAGATGACAAAAGTTTTATTTGGTCCACCAGGACTGCCTTGTAACGGGCTAAGGTCAGAACTAAGAGCAGCAGCGACCTGTCCAATAGGGCAGAGTTTATAAAGAACAGGTTTACAGAAGCTCAAAGATCACTACTAGGGGTGGGATTATTCTTCAACTGATGATCAGGACCAGACAGAGATATGAGACTGGGGGTGGGAGTTAACAAAAAATGGAAAACTGGGTTCTTACATGTACACATGTTCCCTCATCACATTTAGACTCCAAAGTGTGCCTCTCACACTCCCACAGTGACACACACCTTGGAGACGCGGTGACACAAGCACCCAATAGTTTAAAAAAAAAAATCACAACTACACGTGGGGAAACAGCCACAAACTTCAAAGTTTGAGACTCCCACAGCCACACACACACCCCACATACACTCCAACACACAGGCGCAACCAAAGTGCATTCACACGCACAGCATCACACCCGCGAACTCCTCCCCCGGGATTCCCGCGCGGTGACGCCGGCACACTCCCACCGTAACCACAACAGTCACAACCACAGCGCCCGCCTCAGCCTGCAGCCCGCCGCCCTCCTCCCGCCTCCTCTTGCTCCGCACCAGGCTCAAGGCCACCTCACCTCCGCCTCCTACCGAGAAGTCAGTGTCCCTCCGCTCTACTCTGAAAGAGCGAAAACGCTAAGCCGGTCGGCACAAAACGTACCGGTCACCCTCAGGTACACTTTCCAACGCTCCAGTGAGACCCGCCCCCTGGGCCGAGAGACCACTGGGAAACGTAGTCCACAACACGGCAAGGTGCTTACAGCGTAAGGCTACGTCCTACGGGATCGCCAACAGACCAAAACTACTTTAAACCAAACCGCTCAGTGGCGGATTCTTGAAATCCCATCGGATTAGCACGTCCAGAACCAAACTTTTGAATCTGTGTGTGTGTGTGTGAATACTGGGGCTTGAACACCTTGGTGCTATCCCTTGGCGCTTCCCTTCCCTCCCCCACCCCCGCACCCCAATCGTGGGGCTTGAACTCCGGGCCTGGGCACTGTCCTCGAGCTTTTTCCCTTAAGGTCAACGCTCTACCACTTTGAACCACAGCGCCATTTCCGACTTTTTGATAGGTGAGATAGGAGTTTCAAGGACTGTCCTTCTCGGGTTGGCTTTGAGCAGCCTTTGACTCAGCCTCCTGAGTAGCTAGGATTACAGGCCTGAGTCACCCGCGCCCGGCTTTTTTTTTTTTTTTTGGTCGGTCGTGGAGCCTGAACTCTGGGCCTGGGCGCTGTCCCTCAGCTCTTCAGCTCAAGGCTAGTGCTCTACCACTTGAGCCACAGCGCCACTTCCAGCCTTTTCGTGGTGCTGAGGAATCGAACCCAGGGCCTCTTGCACGCAAGGCAAGCACTGTACCGCTGAGCCACCTTCCCAGCCCCCCCCCCCCACATTCCCCCCTTTTTAAAGCTTGCGCTCTACTTAACTATTTGAACCACAGCTCCGCTTCCGGCTGTGGGTGTGTGTGTGTGTGCGTGTGGGTGTGTGTGTGTGGTTACTTGGAGATGAAGCTCACGGATTTTCCTACCCAGGCTGGCTTCGAACCACGATCCTCAACGGAGTCTATTTCCCCAGATTACTGAGTCTAGTGAAATTTTTCTTTGACAGCCCAGCCTGAGTATCCAACTAACCGGCTTCCGCGCGCCTCGTTGCCTGGCAACGAACGGGGCCGCCGTGCCTCCTGGGAAATGTAGTCCAAGGCTTCGCAGGGATTGGGTTGGGCGAGTCACAGTTGGGTGGAGTCATCCTGGCTCTGGCTGAATTCAGCTTGAAGCTCGGAGCGCGTGGGAGGGAATAGGAAACTGAAAGGGAAACCGCTGAGAGATCCATTCTGGAGATCGGGTGGACAGAGGTAAACACTTAGAACTGGGCCCTAAGGGGCATAACAGATGCCGTACTGAGAAGCAGGCTTCAGGTAGTCTCAAGCCCTTGGCTATGTGTCTTTTATCAAAGGCTATTTACTTATTAACCTAGTTAACTTTTTTTTTTTTTTTTTTT